GCACATACTTAGAATTAGCATTGTTATCTATGAAGATCAAATGTCCTTTGATAATATATCTTGTAACTTTTCAGAATACAGTAAAACCAACTCCAACTCATTTGCCTTTCCAAGGAGTACCTGTGTATGATCCTTTCACTTAGCTGCAACTTCCTTCAGTTTTCATTTATTACAAGAATATAATAATTTATATGATTCAGTTCCTCTAGCAAACTATTCACATATTGGTCACTGAACAAGGATATCACACTTTAGAGTACCAACAATCAAATTAAGGTTTTGTTGTAGGTATAAAAACTGTGTGATTTTTAGGACACTGTGCCCCTTTCCCCACCATCCTTCCACCATCAATATAGAAGCAGAAAAGAGCCTTAAAGAACTGAGGGCCATTAAAAAATTTTTCCCCCCATTTTATGAGTTGCTGTGACCAAAAAAGTTTTATCAGCAGGTTGCCAGACTCCTGGTGATATGCTTCTTGATGATTACCTAATCTCTTCCTTGGAAAATAAACCAGATCTGTTTTTCCTAAAGCCATCTTAAAACCCTTCCAGCATGGTAGAATCTGCAAGAGCTTGTGCATTGCTGGTATAATGAAGAACAAAGGCTCACCCTCATGCCATGATGAGGAATCAGAGTAGGACTTCTGTGGAGATTTCCTGACATCAGGCCTAAACCTGCCTCTGCTTTCAGTTACTTTTTCATTACTATTTTTTCTTGTTTATTATAAATTCTGATGAGTCTGTAGTTGGTCTGTTTATGGACAGTAGACTCAAGGATCACTCACATATTTTTAATAAGCTCCCACCAAGCTGTACTCTACTAGATTTTTACATTATGCTCCAGAAACTTCAGTCCTGGAACTCACAACTAAGAATTACCCTCCACCCACAGGCCCTTTCTCTGACTGGAAGGTGGAGGGCCCCTTCAGCCCATTTAAGGAGGACACTTGGGCCACTCATCTCTTCATTTCCTACCAGACTGCACTCTCAAGTAGCTTCTGGACCTCTCTGTCATGCTTCCACATTGGATGCCCTCTCCCCTCTCCTTTTTTAGCTTCCTTTTATGTCTTGTCCATTAAAACGTAAGAACTTGAGAGCAGGGACTGCCTTTTCTTTTTGCTTGTATTTATATTCCCAGTATTTAGCACAGTACCTGGCACATAGTAAACATTGAAAAAGTACCTGTTTACTTGACTTGGTACTTCTGCCCTTTGGGACTAAGCAGAATGAGTTCTTAAACTCTTCCACATGGCTGCTCTTCAGATATTTAAAGATGAAGAATATGATAGTTGAATCCTGTTTCTCAGAGTATTATTTTTTTCAGGCTAAATGGGCCCAGTTCCTTCAATTCATCCTTATATCAGCTGACCTCAAGGCCCTTCACCATTCTGGTTTCTCTCCTCTGGACATTCTGCACCTTACTAATATTCTTCTTAAAATACAATGTTGAGACCTTAGCAAATGAGTTCTGATGCGAGCAGAGTATGGTAGGACTATGATTTATTTCCCTGTTCCTGGAAGCTGTGCTTTTCTTACTGCAGCATAAGATCACATTAGCTTTTTTGACTGCCACATCACACTGCTTACTCAGCTTGCAGTATTTTATTTTTAATTAGAAAAAGGCATTTGAATTGGTAGAACATAATGTAACTGTAAAGTCACTTGTCTTCAGTAAAGGAGTATCTCTGTATATGTTAAGATCAGTGCTATTTTTTAATAGATTAAACCAGAAATAACTGTTGAACTGATCTTTTTTATATCAAAGCCCAGTATAAAACAAGAAAATGTATGTTCACCAAAGGTGATTGTCATTGTTATAGAGAATGTCCTGGTGTCTGTCCAAGTGGGAAAGTGGCCTCCATGTAAATGGTAAGGTCCTAGTTGTAGATAATGATTGTATTTTAAAATTGATAATACTCTATTGTAGTATAGTAGCCCCAAGAACAATTTTAGGCTCTTTCAGTGATAACTATGTTTACTCACAAGAACTTACCCTATCAGTCCATAGTGGAAAAATTAAATGAGCAGAAAATGTCTGTTGTCCTATAATGTATATTTGGATGGCAGAAGTCCCAGCTTTTTAAGAGGTAAGTATGCATTTTGTAAGCCAATGGGTAGAAAAATTAAAGCATGTATTATCAAAGGGATGGTTAATCAACTTACAGAAAAAATAGTGGCAAACACAAAGAGCCAGTGTGGTTTTATTGAAGATAGGTCATACCAGATTAAATTCATTTCAGTCAATAAAGTCAATAAACATTTATTAAGTGCCTACCCCTGTTTTTAAGGATCTTTCACTCTAATGGAGGAAGACAACAAACAAAAGAAAGCTGAAAAGCAGAGGGAGAGGAAAGTACCCAGCACAGGGGCATGGTAGAGAAGCCAAAGAAGTTCCAAAATGAGTGCTGCCAGAGAAGTCCAGAAAGTCTAAAATAAGTTCAGCTAATCAAGAAATGTCTGAGGAGTTGTCTTCAGATGATTTCCTTTTTTTTTTTTTTTTAATTTGGTTAGTAGATTTACAGGATGTTAGAAGGCTATGGACAGTAATATACCTAGATTTCAAAAAAGCATTTGGCAGTCTCTGATGTTAATGTAGACAAGATATAGGCTAGATGATAGGGAGATTACAAACTGGTTGAATGCTGGGACCCAAAGAGTAGTCATTAATGATTTGATGTTAACTTCAAATATCTCTAGTGGAGTGCCCTAAGGATCTGTGGTTGTCACTGTGCCTTTTAATAACATTTTTTTATCACTCACCTGGAGAAATACAAATGGAATGATTATTAGCATAATTATAGATGACACAAAACTTGATGGGTTAACGTTGTCAGGATCCAAAAATCTTATAGACTTGAGCAATGCTTCTCAAACTTTTTTTTTAATCTTAGAACACCTTTATATACTCTTAAAAATATTGAAGAATCCCCAAAGACCTTTGTTTATGTGGGTTATAGCATTTACTTTGTTAAAATTAAAAGGATTTGATATTATTATGCAAATAGTTTTGACTTCTTTGTATCCCCATCTGGACAACTGCTAGACTGAATTAGGCCAAAACTAGCTGATGAGATATGATAGGGCTAAATGTGGTTTTACAATTGGGTTAAAGAAACCAGTCAATTTCTCACGAACAAGATGGGGGAAATATGACTAGATAGCAAATTATATGAAAAAGATCTGGGAGTTAGTAGATTGCAGGCTGTATGTGAATCAGCAGTATTATGGTACAGCCAAAAAAATCTGATGTAATCTTAAACTGCATTGTGAGGCATAATGTATTCTACAACCAGGGAATAGCCTTGTTGTGTGCTTTGCCCTAATCAGACTATAACTGGAGTAATTTGATTATGACTACCATATTTAAAGGACATTGAGATCTGGAGAATGTGTAAAGGAGTGTTACCAGGATTAGTTGGAGGAAATGAGGATATATTCAGCCTGGAGGTTGGTGGGGATAACAAGAACTGTCTTCAGCTATTTGGAAAGCAGTCATGTAGAAGAGGTGTTAGACTTGCATTGTTGGCTCCAAAAAGTAGAACTAGATGAACAGCAGGTGAAAAGTTGTGGGAAATGGATTAAGGCTCATGTGAGAAAAATCTAAGAGAGCTAGGGAAATAAGTGGAATGAATCTCCTTAGAAAGTAATCAGACTTCCTCCCATATTAGCTGTCATCAAGGAAAGCTATATTCCAACTTTCTAAGCATATTATGGAAGGGGATTCTTGATGAAATCTGATTTGGACCAGATGCCTAAGGTACCTTCTGACTTAAGAGATTCTGAGTGGGAACATAAACTGGTTAAGGGAGAAAGTATATAAGGGCATGTGTCAGTCTCTTTCCCTGTTCCCTGGCTTACGTCTTCTGAATTTTACTACTTGTTATGGAATCTTTTGGGCACATATATTTTCTTTGGCTACAGTCCACTCCCTGGCTTCCTACCCAGTCAGTTTGTCCACAGTAGCTAATCTGGTTTTATTTCTGTGTCCAACAAATGTTTGTGTTGCTGTCCGTAAAGATGGAAGTTAGTCAACTATCTTTATGAACAAAATATATTCTAAATATTAATCTCAGAACTGGAAGTGACGTCATCATCCAATCTGTTCCTGAACAGTAATCTTTTCTGTAATATCTCTTAAGTGGTTGTTTAGCCTTTGAAGATATTCAGTGATAGAGAGCTCCTGAGGTTCCCTTCTTTCTGCTTTTTGGATAGCTATAGATGTTAGGAAACAATTTAGGAATTAATTTTATCTTGCTTATTAATAAGATTGTTATTTTTATTTTTTGTGAGGCAATTGGAGTTAAGTGACTTGCCCAGAGTCACACAGCTAGTAAGTGTTATGTGTCTGAGGCCACATTTGAACTCAGGTCCTCCTGACTCCAGGGCCAGTGTTCTAGCCACTGCACCACCTAGCTGCTCCGATTTTGATTTTTACAATCAAATTTTACACAAGTTGTGAATTCCAGCACTTTCAACGTTTCTGCTAGCTTCTGAGTTGATCGGTTTTAATTTGGGTACTACATACATTTTGAATACTTTCAACTAGTAAGAAATTAGATGAAGTGTTTTTTTAATAGTGTTTAAATATAATTTAATGAAAAGGATACAGCCTACTTTTACTGCAATAAGCATAACATTGGTTACCAAACAGAGTACTGTGATGTATTTAAGTAACACTGTAACCGTAAGTTCTGGAAAGAATTTCTCTCTTCTCCTGCTAGAGACTACAGTGATTTCAAGAGACCTTCAGTCTGAGCTTTTCCCCTCCCAACAAGTACCCTTTAATCTTTTTCACTATTTGGAAGCAAAAAATAGAATGAACAGTATCCCTTTATCCCATATTTCCTAATACCAGCCACCAACCTCCTCCTCCCCCCTAAATGACAACTACATTGAAGTAGCAAATTTAGCATAAGTTTTAGAGTGATATATTTGCTGTTGTATTATATAGAAACTTTATTTAAAAAAAAATTAAATGATGATCTGATTTTTCCCCCATAGTCTCATTTTATCTCTGCACTGACCGTTGTGTTTGTAAACTCCAAATCACTGTCGTCACTTAAGATTGATGATACACCTGTAGATGATCCATCCCTCAAGGTACTAGTGGCTAACAACAGTGATACACTCAAATTGTTAAAAATGAGCAGTTGTCCTCATGTCTCTCCAGCAGGTATGTTGTATTATATTTTGCTCATTATAGTTTGAATAAAAGTTGTGTGGTATGTTAAACCAAAAAAATTACAAAAACTGCACCTCTTTTGGGCATGGCAGGTAAACTTACTCTTGTATGTGAATCTTTTATATTTAATATTATATAATAATTATATTTATAATAATATATTTAATGTTATATAATAAATATTTAAAGGCTACAATAGTAGCCTCTCCCATTAATCTTTTTTAGACTAAATTCCTTTAACTATTCCTTATGAGATGACTTCTCAACATATCACCCCCCCTTTTTTTTTTTGCTATTATCTCAGTATCTCCTTTATCTGTGATGCCTAGATTTGAACACAATATTCTAGGTGTGGACTCATATATTATAGGGGGCCTATTTCTGTGATCTAGGTACTATAATTGAATTAAATTTTTAAGTGCTACTTTACACTGCTGGAGGGTGAGCATACTATCATGGATAGAGAGCTGTCTTCATATTCAGAAAGACCTGGGTACAAGTACCATTTCTGACACATCCTGGTGTGTGATCCTGTATAAATTTCTTAACCTATCAGTGTCCCATGTAGCTCCCTCAGACTAAAATTGCAGAGCAGGTGCCTGTCCGAATTGAGAGAGGAACACAGGTCCATTACTGAAAAAAGGTGATTGAGAAAATGTTATTAATTATCAACTTATATGCCTACTTTCCCATATCTGCACCATCTTTGAAATTCATGTGTATCAGAGGTATCTTTGATGAAGGTATGAAAAGGGAACAGAAGGCTTTAACAGTATTCTACATTATGCTATTCAGACCACATCTTCAATATTGTGTTCAATTCTGGCTATTACATATTAAAGGATATTGACAGTAGTTTTTTTTTTAATTCAAAATAGAAAAATTCACTTAACCAAAAATCAGATTTGTAATGTAAAGCTGCAATATTTACATCTGCTTATTTGGTAGGGTATTTTCCTTGGGATGGAGCAGGGTGCCATTTCAGCTGTTGTGGCCCATAGCTAAAAAGGGAACATCAATAAGAAACTTAGATGAGTAGTTAAACATTCTTCTAATTAGATTAGATCCAGTGTGGCACCATGCCAGGGGAATGGTGATATGAGAGAGTGTAATAAATTAACCTTTTGCCCAAGTTCCTGTGCTTCCAGGGGAGTGAGGAAATAAAAATGTGAGTCAAGAATTAAGGGAAACCTAGGTTAACCTTCCTTCCATACCACATTCCAGATGGTCCACCCTTTTGAGTTTCCCCAGTAAGAAAATTCATGAAGACACACAGAAGGTTTTGTTCTTGATTTTGATACTAAAGATGGTTCTAACTCATACCTTTATTTATTTGATCTAAATTTTTTATATTATATCCTTATAGGGAGAGAATACTCTTCATTCTCCAAATTTAAGCTTACAAATGCAATTAATGCGTAGTTTTCCTATTATCTTCTTCCCCCACCTAAAGGTATTGAAAAGAAAAAAAATCAGATTCCATTTATTAATAAATTAGCATCCTCATAAGACTCTGCTGAGCCCATAATTCAGCTCCATTATTCAGAAGTATTATGTCTTTACAATTAGGCAGCACATCTATGTTTTTAACAGCAATAGTAAAACAAACTCCCATTTATTTTACCTTACTGATCCCAAAAAACTGACCTTGCATGTAACCCCATCATCACCAAGGCAGATTTTGATAGTTTGATTTGGTTTGTAGTTTCAAAACCCAAAAGAATCTGTCAGCAAACCTTGGAAAATGTTTATAATTATGGAAAATCAGTGTCAAATCACTCTGGGCTCCCTTCTTAACTTACACTTAAGTGTTTTTTCTGATTTCTTCCCACCAATAAAATATGTGAAATCAATGTCCATAGCTTTATTATTTTCAGGCATGTTTGACTCTGTGATCTCATTTGGGGTTTTCTTAGTAAATATGCTGGAGTGGTTTGCCATTCCTTTTTCCAGCTCATTTTACAGATGAGGAAACTGAGGCAAACAAGATTAATTGACTTGCCAAGGCTCACACAGCTGGTAAGTGGTTGATTTGAGGTTGGATTTGAACTAAGGCCCTCCTTAGTCCAGGGCCGGCACCCTATCCACTACACCACATAGCTGCTTTAGCGGTATTATAGAAAGGATATATTATCATATTTTTCATAGTTTTCCCTACATGTTTAAATTTGGAATTATAAATATTGGTTGTATTTACAATGAACAATAAAGTTTAGGAACTATTTTCTAGAATTTAGTCTTTGAAATTAGGTCATGATTTGATTAGCTAAGTAAAATTAAGCATACAGAGAGTTTTAACTGAATAATTACCTTTCAAAGCTATTACTAAAATTTTATTAGTAAGATGTGTAGACTTTATTGATGTTTCTTATTACTGATAATCATAGTTTGAATAGCATTTTTAAAGAATTGATTTTATTGATAACTTTGTTTTTACATTGCCTGGATTTCCTCCTTTCTTTCTCCCCCTCCCACAGAGTCTTCCCTTATAAAAGATTATTTTTAAAAAAGGGGAAAAATTAACAAAACTGATAAGCATAAAAAAAAAATCTGAAGCATTGTTTTATACCCTATGGACTCCCAACTCTACAAAGGAGTAGAGGGAGGTGTCTTCTTGTATTTCTTTTTTGGGGGGGGGGGGGCAAGATTATTCTCTGTAATTTCACAACATTTTTTTTCCAGTTGTTTTATGGTGGTCTTTTTCATGTACCTTGTATGTATATTGTTTCCTGGCTCTGCTTACTTTGCATTACTTTACATTCACTTTTCCATGCTTTTCATTCATCATGTTTGTCATTTATTACAACACAGTAATATTCCATTACATTAATGTGCCACGGTTTCTTCAGCCGTTCCCCAATTCATGGATACCTACTTTGTTTCTAATTCTTTGCTATAACAAAAAGCTGCTATAAATATTTTAGCTCATATGGAGCCTTTCTTTTTGTCTTTTTTCCATGGGATACATAAATAGCACTTTAAGGTTTACATAATACTTCATGTATGTTGTCTCATTTGTTCCTGGCAACTACCCTATGAGGTAGGTAGTGCAAGTATTGTTAGTTCCAGTTTATATGTTAGAAAACTGAAAGTCACAGAAGTTAAAGACTAAGTAGGCTAAAGTCACGTAATTAGTAAGTGATCAAGCTGGGATTTGAGCCCACTTCTTTTGTCTTCCAAGTTCAATGATCCTTCCACTATACCATGTTGTGTCCCATTAAAACTGCATTAAAGTATTGTAGCTCTGTCTTATAAAGTTAAAATTAAATCATTATAAAAAGTACAATTTCAGTTGTGAATTGGCTGAATTTGTTTTCTTTTCCAAGGTATCCTTTGTGTGGCTGACCAATGTCATGGCTTACGTGAACTGGCCTTGAACTACCACCTCTTAAGCGATGAGCTGCTTCTCGCTTTGTCTTCTGAGAAACATGTCAGATTAGAACACTTGCGCATTGATGTAGTCAGTGAAAATCCAGGACAGACACACTTCCATACAATTCAGAAGAGCAGCTGGGATGCTTTTGTCAGACATTCACCTAAAGTAAATTTAGTGATGTATTTTTTTTTGTATGAAGAAGAATTTGACCCATTCTTTCGTTATGAAATTCCTGCCACCCATCTTTACTTTGGCAGATCAGTAAGTAAAGATGTACTTGGCCGTGTTGGAATGACATGCCCTCGTTTAGTTGAACTAGTAGTGTGTGCTAATGGATTACGACCACTCGATGAGGAATTAATTCGCATTGCAGAACGTTGCAAAAATTTGTCAGCTATTGGACTAGGTGAATGTGAAGTCTCTTGCAGTGCCTTTGTTGAGTTTGTGAAGTTGTGTGGTGGCCGTCTGTCTCAACTATCCATTATGGAAGAAGTACTAATTCCTGACCAGAAGTATAGTTTGGAGCAGATTCATTGGGAAGTATCAAAGCACCTTGGTAGAGTTTGGTTTCCAGACATGATGCCCACTTGGTAAAGACCTTATGCCAAAAGGCAATTTTAATAGCACCTTAAACTTGAGCATACCACATTGTAAAAAAGAAAAAAAAAGCTTATTTAATGTAGTTTTCATATAGTTATATGACTGTGGCATAGAAATTTGATATTTGCAGTCAGTGACTAATAAACAGGCTTAAATATTGATTGTAATATGGAAGCTCCATGGGCCAGGTTTGGTCAGAAAAATCTGTTTCTTTAGCCTAGTAACAGTCAAATATCAGTAGAAAAATCAGTAGTGGTTCAAATATAAGAATAATAAACAGTTGTAAAGTTTAAACATGTTAAGTCTGAGAAACTTGTTTACTACAGATTATGAAATCCAAGTAGTCATAGATTTTCAAAAATGTTTTGTTCTCTATGCAGTTTTTAAAAATGTAAATTTGACAATTTTTAGGGTCTTCGTACACCTGTTATAAGGTGTCAAATATAGCTCAGGAAGATAAGGTTTATGGGAGATGGGTGTAGGTATGTTTTGCTTGTGAAGATTGGCCAAATTTTCACAGTTTTTACACAGCCCAGTTTTTTCTTACTGTACATGTTTCTTGGGGGGAAATAAGTATACACTTATTAGGCAAATGGTAAATTTAACAAAGTGGGCTGTTGTATAAGAATATAAATTAGAGCCAAGATCAAACTACCACAGGGCAAATGCACAAGGAGTATAAGGAAAAGCATTTGATTTACATTTTGAAAATTGCTTTGTAATCTACTAACCTTATAAAGTCTATCCTGTAATATGTTATTCTGTAAATTGCACTTGAGGCATTTGTATGTGAAGTAAGGAATATTTGGTTTTTGTATATTGTTTAAACTAGTTTTGAGGTTATGATGTAACTGAAATTCATAATGGCAAACTATTTAAAAAGCCAAATCAAAATTATAATTAAAGGTAAACTCAAATGTTTATAAATTGTATGAAAGATTATCAGATTGTAGTGAGTCTTAATGGTGGCTTATTTTTTTCTTTTAGGGATTGTACAGCTAAATTGTGTAAGATATTTTGGTTTTTATTAATCATACATGAAGCTCCAAATGTATATTTTTAGGGTGAGCTATAATAAATTTAAAAGGCATATTTAAGTTTATAATTATATTTTTTGAGTGAATATTGCTAAGTGGATAGAACAGTTTTAACAGAAAAAGTATCAGCAGGTTCCTGTAATTGGCAATCACATTAGTTAAATGAGTATTTTCTAAATGAATTTTTTGTCACTTTAAAGTGTCATTTTAAGTTGCCTCCACCTATACAAAGGTAATAGTATAAAGCATAGTTCGTATAAATATTAAGTTTTATCTTCAAACAGCTGAATTTCCTACTCTTTATATAAACTTTGGTTCTGGGGACTAATGCTAAATATTTCCCTCTTTGGGAGAAATTGGAAGGGCACTAACCATCCATTTTTAAAAAGTAGTTTATTCCTGATAGTATAAATTGATGCCTGAAATTACTTCATCAGTGTTTCAGAAATAGTTTATCTCAGTTAGCAGTTGTGGGTACTAACTGTTTTATTAATTTTATCTACTTCAAAACAGGATTACATATTGAATAGAGTAATTTATGGTCTTCTAAATAATTTTGATTTGCCTTAGGATTTTGAAATGATGAGAACTTAATCTTTAGCCACATGTAAATAAGCAGAAACAATATAATAGCTCAAATTTAAAAATTAATAAGAAGTGAATGCTAGTGGTTATTTTGCATGCACACGTACTCACGTGCACACAAACACACACACATACCTTCATAAGCTTGACTTTTAACAGAAATGAATGTTAAGTACTTGGGGTATTTTAAAAGAGGCACAGATCTCCTTGAACATCTTTAGTAAATGGATTTGACAAAACAGATGCTAATAACCAAAGTTCTACTTGGAAGTTTACATTTTGTAAAAGCTGATTTATATAATACTTGAAATGCTTAATTTCAGTTTATAAACATATGCATAACATTTAAGATTAATTTTTACTTATACTTTATATGCTCAATACTTTTATCTATTTGAAAATAGAGATAGTTTTTAATTCTGGAGTATTACCATGATCAAATCAAGCATTTAAAAATTATTTTCTGACTTTAAAACCCAAATTAGATTCAGTTTCAATAATGTTCTGGTTTGGAGGAATTTTATTTCATGTGTGCTCAATATAATTACAAAATTTTGCTTAAGACTAGTTCCTGGGGTAGCTAGGTGGCGCAGCGGATAGAGCACCAGCCCTGGAGTCAGGAGTACCTGAATTCAAATGCAGCCTTGGACACATAACACTCCTAGCTGTGTGACTCTGGGCAAGTCACTTAACCCCAACTGCCTCACATAAAAAAAAAAAGTCCTTATTTTTGAAAAAAGATTATTTATTGACAATGACTGATACAGAGGTTTGAAAGACTGGTGAAGATTAATACTGCATTCAACCTCTAAGCAGAGAAAACAAATTGTAAAATAATCAGTAAGAAGTACCTTTAAAAGAATAATTTTGCCTTTCTCACCTTTTTGCATATCCATACATTTCAATCAAAACATTTCAAGCTTGCTAGTCTCATTTTTCAGTCATAAAGACTTCTATTACACATGATTTTAATTTCAAAAAAAATTTCCACCAATCTGTAATTAATTTGTTTTTGGAGGTGTTTAGCGAAACTAGAGAATAGTCAACTTGACCTCTGACAAGAACTTTTACTTATAAAGCATTATTAAAATCATTCCTAAAATTTCTATCAATTAATAAACCATCAACCTTTCTCATTCAGCAATGCTTTTATTCCTCTTCATTGCAGCTTTTAAATGCCTTAAGAAATCTAATACTCTTATTTTGCTATTATAGTAGAATCTTAGTTTTCTGGGAAAGGGCCTTTTATAACAAAGGCAGCTGTGTGTTTTGGGTTTTATTTTACTTTGGTAACTTAAATCCAACATAAGTGATAGTATACCTTATATTTCAGTGGCAGCACACTTTTGCATTATTTTATATATGAGGAAATGGAAGCACGTAGAAATTTTGACTTGCCCAGTGTCACACTGGATATGGAACTGGTATAAGTAGAACAAGTTTGGGATACAGGACTCCAGACTTCTAACCCAGTGGATTTTGAACTTTTCTATCGGGAGTTGGGTGTGAGATGCCAACTATAAGAAAAGTCTACCCAGATTGCAGACTAACCCTATATCTCCCATCCTCTCACAAAAAAATTGTGGGTGTACCTTTATAACTATCTTTATAGGTATAATAATTGCTAGGAGCTTCAGCTTTGCAAAATATATTCCCTCCCACTTGCTAGTGCCTAAAATTAATTTAATGGGGCTCATAATTTTACAGTGAGAAAAAAGATTTATGAAGTAATTGTTTGATTTTATTCACCTCGAATGGAATGCATTCATACTAAGGTATTAGATCAGTCAAGTGTAAATAAGTATTATCCTTTTCTTTTTAAGAAGGGAGGGAAAAAGACATTCACTTGGTCACAGCTTGGGAAAAGAGAAAGAGAAGTGGTTGAACTTGTCAAATCAAGTTTACCTACTTTGAGTGTGCTCAAAGAGATCTTTTTCTCCCACAGTTATGTTACTTAGCAGGAACATCACCTCTGAAATAACATGATATACATCACCAGTTATGCAGGATTTGTTGCCACTGAAATACATGGTACACACTACCACTAATGCAGGATTTGTTAAGTTATAAACCAACCAAACAACCCTACAGCTGACTTTGCTTTAAGGCCCATTTCCTGAAGATTAAGATTTCACTGCACAACAGAATAATTAGCTCTGTTGAGGCCTTTAAAAACTGTATTTTTTTTCTTCTTTTTGTAAGAAGTAAGTAAAAGAACTATTTAAGTTTATAAAATGTAATAGTCATTATGGCATTCTTATTTTTGTTTTGGTTGTATTCTTTCAATTAACTGTACCAACTTACCAGAACTAGTTCTAAGCAAAAGCCCCTTAAGAAGTACATTCACTAAATCTCATAACAAAATTAATGCTACAGAACAGAATTCATAAAACAGCATTCTTTTTTTAAAAAATGTTTTTCTTTAAGATTATATAGTTTTTAAAGTTAAAATTTAAATTTAAAAAATAATGGTTCCAATCTCCATAACAGCATCTCATATTTAATAGGCAATCACTAATTATGGATTTGCAAATGTCTTGCAAATAATACCTACAGAATATTAAATACAATAGAGTTTTTAATATGTTAAGGGGCACATGACTAATACATCTGAATTATTTTCTGGCTACTACTTAAAAGTCTTTCTTAAGTATGACCTTCACACTATTTCTTATTGCCTACTATAATTTAATTTGAAATAAAATTAACTAAGATTCATTTATATGAATGATAAGCTTTCCATTGTCAACTTGCACATATAATATTATACAGAAGCTTCATTGTGTGAATTCTTAAAAAAAAAAAACTAGTTTCTCCTAACAACTTTGTATATCATATAAAGTATGATATCACATGATACATAATAACCTGATTTTGGCAACATAATAATTACATCTAAACATGCTCTAGTTTTCCAGTGAGGTTTAACAATGATAACTTGTAATTAATACAGATGCTTTTACTCAGAGTTAATAGCCCCCTGCTTTTTGTTTCACCATGTTCCCAGAGTGGATTGTTTGCTTCACATGCACTATTTGGAAAAAAACAAAAAATGTGTATAAGCTTTACACTTGCCCCCTAGTGGAATGCCTTTCCAATACAGCCATCCCTTTAACAAGGATGGTTTTTCAAAAACTGGCTATAGTTAAAACTGATTAATGAACAAGACAAAGGACTGAAAAATATAATTTTTGGCAACAGTGAATTGGTGACAAAATGTCAAGTATAGACTTGCCTCTATATCTGAGGAATACAATGTTTCAGGAGACAGTTAAACATATATACACAGATATATGAACACAAACATTGTTACTTATCTTACATGTCACTGCTAGTTAATGAAGGGGAAAATAAAACTAGTAAAATAAATTTAAGGATTAACTGTGCCCAAGGGTTGTTGAAGATGTTTAATGACAAACCATGAAGCCCTATATACTCAGTTCAAAATCTGATATTGCAAACCCCAGGAAATTCTGAAACTCAAAGTCTGTGGTAAGAGAAAAACCTTTGTCACTGAAAGGAAATACTTTCACATCTGCTATATTTAAGAGGAAAAAAAAAAGTCTTAAATTCCAATGAGAGGAACTCATTCAGGACACCTGGATCAAAAGGCATTCTAAAATTACTACAACACAGAACAATACTTAAAGGTTTTAAGTGGTATGCAGAATAAAACATGTAACCTTTGTACTGTAGTTATATGTAATTCAACTCAGATATTTATTAAGCACCTACTGTGTACAATGCACCATAACATAGTCTGTTTAATATTAGCCCTATGTACTATGATTCTTCTTCCCTGTTAATTGTAGCCTTGAAATCCAGATAATCCAGGGGGCTAACTTTTGCCAGTACAATACTGTATTAACCTCTCCCCACCCAGTTCCCAAGAGAGACTAAGAGGCAAAATGATTTGTTGATTTGAGTTTCACCTCCTTAATTCTTAAAAACCAATGAAAGAGGGATAGGCCTAGATGATCCATAATGGGACCAAATCACTCTCTGAATCACTTCCCAAAAAGATATACTGACATTTCCTTCCTCAAAGTCCCAATGTTTTAGAAACCAGTGTTTTGTTTGGTAAAGGAATTTCTTCATATGTTATCTTTATAAAGGGGGACTTCATAGGTAAAAACCAATATTCAAAATTATAAAACAAATAAAACTGCCTGTGGATAAGCACTGCATCAAAAATTTGCACAAGACTTAACAAAAATTCTTTAACTGACAAATGAGGTCTAAATGGGTAATAAAATCTCTTTATAGCTGTAGCAAGAGTCTTGTTTCCTGCAGGTCCAAAAATAGAGGTTTCATTTCCCACAAATGTAGGTTCACCACTGTAGAGAAATATTCTGGTATAGTTGGTTTCTATCTTCTTAAACTTGGCCCCAAGTTCTGCCAATTTCTCATATGTTCTTAATACAAATTTGGAGCAGTCATAAGATTCAAACCATGTTGTTGACTCTTTTTCTGGACTAGCTCGGACAGTCCATGTCTCATAATAAATACCTGTTTCATTATCCCGTTTCACCCAATTTGCCATTTGGTTAAATATTTTTCCTATTTTTAAAAAAGAAAAAAATGTATAATTAAATCTTATATATAAACACACGCACATATATATATATAAGTAGACATGAATAAATGAAAATGTTTGGCTTTCATAGCAAGGATTCAAACTCATCCAATCATATATGCTCACGTATGTCAAAAGCAAGCAATATCTCAAATTATCTTTCACAAAAGAAAGGTAAAAGGATAATAACAATTGACATTTATATAGCATTTTACATACAATTCTAAGAGCCCAATACCAACTCTGTGATACTAGGTACTACCATCATAAAATCCCATTTTACAAATGAAGAGACAGAGAAGTTAGTTGACTTGCCTATGGTAACACTGCATGTTGCCATGCACCTAATTTATTAGGTCACATTACCTTCTTAATTCATTAATTTTATAATTATAAGTTCAGAATTTAGACTAGAAGGGTACTTAGAAATCATCCAATGCAACCTCCTTTTATCTATGAGGAAAATGAATTTTAGTAGTAATGTCATTATCAGGTCTTTAAGTTATGAAGTTTACAAAAAACTGACGCACTTCTTCCTGAATGTTATTAAATAGCACCAATGAGAAAGAAAAAAAACTGGCAAGGGGAATGGGAAGTGATATATATGTAAGTGACAAAGTAGAAGGCAGAAAAGTAAAAGAGAGGTCAGGAAAGATGATCAGGAATGAGATATTGTGAAGGAGGAAAGAGATTTAACCAATTCTGTATGTATAGTTAGATTTATAAAAATGGTTTGATGCAAAGCCCTACCTTTTTGTTTTTAACTATATTGAACAGCATTGGATCTTTACTAGGATCAATTCTGAATTAGTTTAAACTTGCCAAACCAAAAGAACTTACAGGCTCTGTTGAATTTCTACTGGAGTTTTTAACCCACCTTGTGTTTGTTTTACTTAAGGACATCATTAACTGTGAGAATACATTATATCCAGTAGCTAATGCCATTTGGCTATCTCTGTACCTTTTTCATGATCCTGGACATTTTATAAGCCTGGCTTGGTCAGGTAGTACACTCTGAAAGTAGAAGGATGGATTGTGTGACTAAATGAAGTTCTTTCAGAGAGTGATTTACCATTTCACTTGGGTACACTGACTCTCAGTTTGGGATTTTGCTCTCTCTACTTTGAAAAGAAGAATGTAAAATTAATATTCAGAATTGTGGAACTTGAGCTTGTAATCATATTGTGTTATACATATTAAAAAATGGAGTTGGAAGAGGCACTTGAGGGTACCTAATCGTTTTATAAAAGAAACAGGCCCAGAGAAGTGAAGCTATTCAAATACTGTAGCCAAGATTAAAACCCAGGTTCTCTGAGTCCAGATCAAACAGTCCTTGCAATTTGGACTCTCCTCACCTCTAGCCCGAGGGACAGGAAAGGGAAGGAAAACAGTAAGGCCTCCTGGATTCATAGGGTTGGGGATAATGTTGGGGATATTTATATACATTATATACATTAATATGTTTCATACACATATTAGAAGCACACCTCCACATGTAACAGATATCGCACTATACACTATCATATACCCATTATACACAATATACATGTGCTCACTACCCACTTCTACTTTGAAGAACTCATGAGTAAGGAACCAGCCCAAGGTAATGGCCAGTTAGCTGTAGAGAACCATTAAAGCTAAGGTTTTCTGCTTCCTAGTATAGTTCTCTTCTGATAATAGAAAACAGTGACATAGCTTAATCTTATCACATTTAATATTAAACAGTGATCGAAATAACACTATTATTATTACTTCCTAGTAATGCTTTATGGACTTGAAATTTAGAGGCAGTTAGAACTAAAAATCTTAGAAGAGAACTGACTCTAAGAATGCTGCTTTAATATAACATCTGTTTTATCATTTAAAAATAGCTTAACAGGAAGCTTTGCTCAGTTACAAAGGCCCTAATCCAGTTTCTTCCAAGCCACTTGTCTAATTCTTACTAATACCATAACTAGGAAATATAAGCATTCCAGAGGCTCAAACATAATACCGCAAACAATTCACTCATTTTCACTAAATTTTTACAATATGGTTGTACTGAGCCATAATTTTCTATTAATTTCCATTGGTAATAGGCAATATAACACATGAATAATACTTTGGTTTAAGAGTTAGTGGTTCCAGCTACATAGTTTACAGATGGCTTCTAAAACTATGAAGAAAACAATGAACTATGCTTCAAAATGAAGCTGGTTTTAATATCTGTATGTTTATGCTGTCACCCAAATACTATCATGTTTTCAAAACCCACCTGATATAGTTGCTATCAGAACCAAGGTCCCATTTTCTTTCCAGTGAATATCATCAATACCTTCAAAAAAACAGGCAGCTCCCTGATTACACCAGAATGGTGCATTCATTTCAGGTCGGAGATGGGGAAATGTGCAGTTTCCAAGTTGGAAAAGTTCATACCATTCCATGGTGTAGTTCTTGCCTGTCATAGTATTTCTGAATCCAATAGCATCATGCATAATATTCTATGTAAAAATAATGTCAGATATAAAAAAAAATAGTTGCAAAATGAGACTATCTCCTGTGTTCTAAGCTTGGGTGTCCCTGAAAGCTTTTGTTCTGGGTTCTTTAATAACCTGCTGGTGATCTCCACTCCCCACATATTCAAATATCTATCTCTGCAGACAGGACTCCCAAATCCATAAATCTAATCTTTTTTAAAAAAAAAAAAAATTTATTTTTAGTTTTCAACATTCACTTTCATAAGATTTTGAGTTTTAAATTTTCTCTCCCTCCCTCTCCTCCCCCCTCCCCAAGACAGTGTGCAATCTGATATAGGCTCTACTTATACATTCATATTAAGGATATTTTCACATTAGTCATGATGTATAGAAGAATTAGAACTAATGGGAGGAACCACAAGAAAAGAAATAAAACAACAAAAGAAAAGAGCAAATAGTATGCTTCCATCTGCATTCAGACTACATAGTTCTTTCTCTAGATGTGGATAGCATTTTCCATCAAGAGTCTTTTGGAATTGTCTTAGATCCTTGCGTTGCTGAGAAGAGCTAAGTCTATCAAAGTCGGTCATTGCACAACGTGGCTGTTACTGTGATGTTCTCCTGGTTCTGCTCACTTCACTCAGTATCCGTCCATACAAGTCTTGCCAGGTTTTTTCTGAAGTCTGCCTGCTCATCATTTCTTATAGCCCAGTGGTATTCCATTACATTGATATACCACAACTTGTTCAGCCATTCCCCAATTAATGGGCATCCCTTCAGTTTCCAATTCTTTGCCACATAAATCCAATCTTAATCTTTCTTCTGAACACCTTTCCTGGATCTTTAGCTACCTGTTTGCTACATATCTCCACCTAAACATGCCATCAAAATCTCAAATTGAATAGCAATCATTTATTAAGAACCTATTCTATAGGTAAGGGGACAAAAATATAAAAGACAAAACCAAAACAATCCCTTCCTTTGTGCTACTTACATTCTAAATTTAATGTCCAAAATGGAAGTTACAATCTTTCTCCATTAAACCATCTCTCCTTTGAATTTCTCTTATTTCTTTTGGGGGTATCATCACCCTTTTGGTTGCAGCCTGAGAGTCTTTGCTTCCTCACTGACTATATCTAATCAGCATCTAAGCCTTGTCAGTTGTACCTTCACAATGCCTTTCATAGCCATCCCCTTCAGCGTCACTACTGAAGCACTATGCCACCTCAGGCCTTGCCTACTGAAAAAAAACCTTCAGATAGGCCTCTGTCCTTTTAGCCTCTCCACCCTTTAATCCATTCTCCAGAGAGCTGCCGAAATAATTTTCCCACGGTGTCAGTTTGAGCATGTCATTGCATTGCTAAAAAACTTTGATAAATCACAAACTCCTCAGCCAGGCATTGAAAACCTGTCTCCAATCCATCTTTTTAGAAAATTAATATTAACTGTCTTTTACATAAATCTACATTTCAGCCAAGCTGAAAGCTGCTACCTGAACTATTCATTCCATCTCCTATCTCAGCACTTTTATAGGCTATCCTCTCCACCCGAGAGACACTTCTTTCTCAAATACTACTTACTCATTTCACCTCCCTCTCCCTCCCTCCCCACAAATTATGCTATAGTGACTGACTTATCTGGGTACATGTTCTTTCACTTCCTAGTAGAATGTAAGTTCCTTGAAAAACATTTCCAGTACCTAGAAAAAGCATTACACATGGTAGACTGTTAATAAATGAGACTGGCCAAGGCACTTGGGACTTGAGCTGTCTGCAAGTTTCCCTTACTTATGCACATTCTCATTCTTGCTCCCCAAGCTGTGGGTCTTTGTTCCCTGGCTCGACCCTACCCTCTGTACAGGATACTTCTCCCAGATAGGGTTCTTAGTGCTGAGCATTTCTCTTTAATGGGGAGGGGTGATGCAGTGGTTCTCTTTCAACTTAGAGAATGGTGGGTCCAGGCTGAGAGATAGAGAAATAACAAGTGTTGTACTCCTACTTTATGTGATTACAGGAAAGCAGAAAAACTACAGAAGTTCTGGTTTTACAATTATTTTCACTGCTGATAATTACATCATGATAATTATAACCTATGATTCATCTATGATAGTTTTAAAGGGTATACTGGAGAATATTAAGGTCTTTATAGGTCCTTCAAATGTTCTCAATCTTTACTTTTTGTTGGGGCTTAGTAATGTGGATAATCCAAAGAGAGATTCCTTAGACTAAGTACTTACTGCAATGGCATAGATTTTAAGAGGGAGAATGGAAATTTCTTGAAAGTAGGGATTGTTTCATTCTTTGTTTTTGTATCTGCAGTGCCTAGTACCTAGTAGGCATTTAATGCTAGTTGGTGGTGGATAGATTAAGCCCAGAAGTGAGAGGTAGACACAGCCAACAATACATCAATTCCTTTACTCAAATGCCTGACTAGAAAAATCACTCCCCTTTCCACCAGAGACTTAAAAAACAAACAAACAAACAAACAAACAAAAAACCTCATTAGGTTTGGTCTTATTTTTGACCAAAGTTATTTTATTAGGATTAAAAAAAAATCATGCCAACTCAATTTATGTAGCTAATAAGATATAATTATTTCAACATTTTTGGTTACTTTATGCAACATAAGAATGTCAGAGAAATTTGACCCTCAAGCCTACAGTGAATAGATTTTTCATATTATATGAGAGCCTATAAATACAATCACTAATATCTCAGAAGCTTCTACCAAGTACTGTTTCACTTCATACTACTATCAACCGTCTGGACCTCCTCTTCTTCTCTTTTCCCCATTGCCCCCTCCCCCAATCTTACCACAGAGGAAGGAAATAGGAAGGAGTGGAAAAAAGGAAAGAATAAATTGCATAATAAAATTCTACCTGTGATGCTTTTGTTTCTTGCCTTAACATCCCACCTCCAGCTCCCAGTAGGAAAGTACTCTACTTGCTGGACTAATAGGAAATTGCTTAAAATGCCCTATACTTCAACACACTTAAGAAATACTTCAAAGAAATTTAAGTACCACAAATATACAAAACCCAGGACACTTAGAATGACATCTAATGTACATACTGTTAGAGTACATTAGGAATGCCAAAGCTTAAATGTCTTGGAACTAGCACAGTCTATTTTGTTGACCATAGCATCATTGCTTCAGTTAAATTATTCAAAATAAAGTTAATAACTGAATTTAACCAGAATTTGTTAGGATGTTTAAAAAAAAGGCTATAAAAGTTACAGTGTTTGCTGCCATTAAAATTATTAATTTGATATTTTGATTCGCAACTTTTTACTTCTTAGTGTAATTGTTCTAAATAGAATCAATATAAGGATAATATACATAAACATATTTATGTATATATATATATACCCACACAAGTATGTAAATAAGAAATCAGGTGGACACATGCATATGTACATATATATCAGTGTGTGCACACATATACACAACAGAATTTAATTGGTTTTCCCCAAAATCAAACTGCACTCAACAATTCAGAGCCATAACAAAATAAAGGTCCATTCTTACCAAATGTCCCAGGAGATCACCATATTTAAATTCCCATACTGGGGCTTGTAATCGAAAGACTTCTAGGACATCATCATCCTTCATAACTGGGATAGGACAACCAGTTGGGCAGAAAGTATATTGAGCTTGACAATAAGGATCTGGTGTAGGACGGAATTCAAAACGCCTTCAATAAGAAAAAAACAGTTATCAACTTGAAAGGAATTAGTGAGGCCTTATACATTTAAGAATCCAAGTTTCATTTAAAGCTCATTTTAGGTAAGCAGTTCAACCTTCTCTCTTTATATATGAGGAAATCAAGGCCCGTAGAGGTTAAATGATCTGGGGTTCAAATCACACCTCCAGCTATGTGACCTTGGGCAGATCATTTAATTATTCTAAGTCTCAATTTTCTTAATTGTAAAATAGGGGTATTTATACTATCTTCCTTACAGAGCTGTTATAAGGGTCAAATCAGGCAACACATTAAAGGATTTTGTAATCATAAAGTGCCAAGAAAATGTAAACAACGAGCATAACTTATCATACCAAAATGACAAAAATAACTTGATAAATTGATACTTTCTCTTAATTATGTATTTTAGAAAAGTTCTTGTTTCCAACTACTCTCAGGTCACTCTGAGTTTTATCTGATTTCCTTAAGAGAAATAAGGGGAAAATATGTATATTCTCCAATAATATCATTATACTAGGACTGCTTTAAAAAAAAAACAAACAAACATGCCAACCAAATTTATATAGCTAAATAAGATATAATCATTATAATAAGCTAAATAATACATAATTATCCTAGCACCATTGCTCACTTTGTTCAACATAAGAACTTGAGAGAAATTTGACCTTCAAGCCTACGGTGAATATACTTTTTTTTGGGGGGGGGTGAGGCAATTGGGGTTAAGTGACTTGCCTAGGGTAACACAGCTAGTGTCAAGTGTCTGAGGCTGGACTTGAACTCAGGTCTTCCTGACTCCCGGGCCAGTGCTCTATCTACTGCTCCACCTAGTTGCCCTGTGAATATACTTTTTATATAAGCCTATTAATACAGACGTCATTATTTCTTCCTGTTCTACCCCTTTAAAGAGAAGCCCTTTATTTATACAACAGGGTAACGAGCATGGAGTCATTAGATGTTTGTCGGACAATTAACAATACATCTACATAGCACTTTAAGCTTTACAAAATATTTTCCTTACAACTTTTTGAGAGTACTTGAACATAGTTTTTATGGATCTTTATAGGACTGCTAACCGTCAATACTTCAAAAATAGATGATTCTGTAGGAAGCTCCTTCAGAAAGGCAGATGGCAACCTATAGTCTGTGAGAGGTTTAAGTGGCTTGCCCATAGTGACACAGTTACTAAAAAGCAAAGGCTACATGGGAACCCGCATCTTTGTGACTCCAAGTCCAGCACTCTATCCATTACCCCACAAAACCTGTCACTAAAGATTACATGACTAACATTGATAAAGTACTTTAACACTTGCAAAAAAAACTTTATATAGATTCTCTCTGAGCTTTATAGCAATTTAGTGAGGGAGATATTACTGGTATTATCCCCATTTTACAGATGAAAAAACTAAAGCTCAGAAGTTAAGTGATTTGCCAAATTTGAACAATTTGCCTGGCACATGGTAAACACTTAAAAAATGATTCTTGACTTGGTCACAAGATAGTGTCAGAAGAGATTAAAAGCCAGGTCTTCCTGACTCCAAGTCTGGTACACCATCCATTCTCCATGGGATGCTGGATGTGAGAGATGAGGGTTTGAATCCCACCTCTAGTTCATAATAGCTGTGTGTCCATGGGTAGTTAACCTGAGCCTTACTTTTTTTGTATGTAAAATGGGGATAATAATGCTTTTCCTATCCACCTCCCGTGTTCTAGTCAAATCTCCAAGAATATAGGTTGCAAGGAATGACCAACCACAATTCCAGAGAACTGATGAGGAAGCAAATTTCCCAACTCCTGACAGAAAGATGTATGAACTCTGGGTGCAAAATGAGGCATACATTTTTGGATACGGCCAATGATGGAATTTATTTTGCTTGCTTATGCATATATTTGTTAAAGGATTTTGCTTTCCCAACAGAGGGCAGCGGGGTGGGGGTTGGAGATGGAAGGTGGGAAGAAAATATTTTAATTAAAAAAAAAGTGAATAAAGGACTATAGGTTTCAGAGAAATTTATGACCTGAATGACTGATAGGTAAGTGAAAAGTCCCACATATCAATGACACCAGAGGTCCAGTCCCTGACTCTACTATCAATCTCACAAGGTTGTTGTGAGTAAAGTGTAGAAACTGAAAAAAAAATTTACTCTCTCCTATTAGAAAGTAAGCTTCCAGTGAACAGAGACTATGTTTTTTGCCTTTGTTTATATCTCTAGTGCTTAGCACAGTGCCTGACACTTAATAAATGCCTGCTGACTAATTGATCCCAGAAAGTAAGACCAAGAACAAATAATGGACGGGACCTGCAATTCATAAAGTTAGGGAGCTCCCCTGAGCTCTCATACCAAAGCATAGTGACACCTACTCTGCAGCTTGTCTGGGGTACTGACTTGTATAGGGTCACAAAGCCAGGATGTATCAGAGGCTGATTTTCCTGACTCCAGGTCAGGTCTTAACATATTTTCCATGCTGCCTCTAAGCAAATATAGTGACCTTAATATCCTTAATTGACATTAGGTTTAAAAAAAAAACCAAAACAATACATATGCTGGCCAACTCTAGACCATGCTGCTAAGATAGGTCTTGTGATATTTTATCTATGAAACCAGCTAAGCTCAATTAGGCTCATCAGAAGCCTGATCAGTAGGTGAACTTTTGTTTGTGGCAACTCGGAAAGACTGTCAACCAAGAGACAAAAGGATTATGATGTATATTGGTTCAGGAAGTGTTCACGTGGTATTATGATAAAAATGCTGGCTTGAGAATCATCTGGATATGGAGGACCTGCGTTAGAATTCTTATTTTATCACTTAGTATCTGTGTGAAAAATGAGAAAGTTGAAATAGATGACCACTGAGGTGACTTCCAGCTTTAAACCTATGAGCCTAAATAAAAATTAAATCACAGATTCACAAGAGACAGAAACTGAAATATAAGTGACTTGACCCTCATTCCTTTTCCCCTTCACTTAAAATACCCAACTTGGGATATTTGACCTCCTGGGAGAGACCTTGGACATATTACTTCCCCCACCCCCACTTCCCCTAATTTATTTAGTTTGCTTCCTTAGAAAGTACCCTTTCCTCTGTCCCTAACGGAGTTTCTGTCTCTTCATTTAAGGACACTGGTGTTTGTGTGCTGTGATATATATACCCAACTGCTTTGTTTTTAGGGACTTGAGTAAAAGGCCTACTACTTACTGGTCATCTTTTCCAATCCACTGAATGATGGGATTAGACTAAAAAAATCTCAAATTCCTCTCAGCACTAACATGCCATGAATCATCAACATTTAGTACACAACTTGACCTTGTTAGGCACTTAATGCCAGTTGACAACATATAAAAATATTAAAAGTTAAAAATCAAATCTATAAAATGAGGAAGGATTCTATTAGATTACAGGTTATCAAACTCACAGGCCCACAAAACTCCAGTGTGGCAGGAACCAGATTAAAATATAACTGGGAAAATGTTTCACAAACTAATAAGAATATAATACAACATAATGTTAATTATGGGGTTTTTTGTGGTTTTTCTAAATCTATTCCATTTCTATTTGAGTTTGATACCACTGGACTAAGTGACATATGAGGACCCTTTCAGTTCTAAATCTATTATCTGTCGATGAGCCTTTATCCCTTAAGACTTCATGCACACACACTACAGAGACATCCAACTTCTTAATTGGGTCTGCAATCCTCTAGAATACAGATGTCAAACACAGCCTAAAATACCCCTCCATGCTAGAACGGAATGCAAATGGGAAATATTTAACAAAATAAATAAAAAATATAGATATGCACTGCAGGCATCCTTACATTCAGATTAGTGCCCCCTATTTCCATTTGAGTTTGACACTACTGCTCTAGAACACATAAGGCCTGGCCTAGTGGTTTCATCAACAGCAATATCTGAATTGTTGTTCAGTTGTGTCTGACTCTTCACGTCCATGTATGGGTAGTTGTTTTTTTGGCGAGGATACTGGAGTGATTTGCCATTTCCTTCTCTAGGGGATTAAGGCAAATAGATGTTAAGTGACTTGCCCAGGGTCACACAGCTAGTAAATGTCTGAGACTGGATTTGAACTCCAGTTTTCCTGACTGGAGGCCCGGTGTTCCATCCACTGAGCCACCTTGCTGCCTCCTCAATATCTGAGTAGTATCTCCCTATACAGAGTCAGGGAAGTCAGAAGCGGGTAAACCATGCAACTAATTTGTGTGATCACCATGTCAGTTATTTTTTTTTCTCCCATGTGACAATAACTGACATATTTGTACGTTGCTTTAAAGGCTGGAAAGTATAAACCTTTAGGCCTCCCAGCTATTATTATCCTCACATACACCCCTAGTGTGGTTTGTCTGTTTTGAAGTTTGGGGAGACTGTCGTGGGTACAGCATCACCCCAAGCAGCCACAGAATTTCTCAAACAAGGAAAAGCAGTGCTCCTCCTAACCGCTTCCTGCACAAATACCCTGGCACTGCTCGCAATTACGTGTCTGGCTCTTTTTTTTTTTTTTTTTTTTTAACCATCAAGAGGAAGAGGAGCTCAGGAAATAAACCCTCCATTTTCTGGACATTTTTTTCTTCTTACTTTCCCTACAGACCCCCCCCCCCCCATATCTAACCAGTCGCTGGGCCAGGGGAGCTAGGAAAAGGACCTGAGAGACAATCGATCTTTTAAAAACTGGGATGGAGCAGGACGAGGATTCAAAGCTAAGTACAGACTCCAACCTCAGGGGTTTAAACACTGCCCAGTCTGCAGCATGGGCTACCCAGGGTGTGCGCGCGCAGCCGCACGTGATCTCCCTCTCCGCCCGCGCAAAGACCCCTGGCCCCTCCGGGACGCACGCGCACTCACCTGTAGGGAACTGGCCACTGCTGCAGCCGGGGACCGCTGCTACCCCAAGCCGAGGGCAAATCAGCGGCCACCGCCAGCCAAAGCAACACCAGGGCCCAGCGTGTCTGGCCGCCGCCCTCTCTCCCTTCTCCCCAAGTCCTGGTCCCCATGCCCACGCTGCTACCAACCCCCCCAACAGTCCGAATTTCCAAGGCCTCTGAGAAAGATTTCCTAGGTTTCCGAAGCGACGAAGCATGCGTGGAGCAGTTAGCGCATGCTCCATCTGGAGCTTTTCTGCCATCGAGCTGTACGGGTTTCTGGGTCACGTGTTCCTCCCGCACCCCTCTGTCAGTCAGGGAGGGACTTGCCAATGCCCCCTCGTGATGGGCGGGGTGGGTCCTTTTGCCGTGGGCGGGGCCAGTGGCTCCTGAATCATCCCGTCACCCTCTTTGCTTTACCGAGGCAGGGAGAAGAAACTGAGGGTTCAGGGACAGGATTTGAATTCAAGTCCCCCAACTGCAAAGCCAGTGCTTTTTGCACAGTACCAAGCACCTCAAGTCGTAGGGGCCTGATGACATTCTTGTCCTGGAATCGTTGTGAAATACAATTATTCCACCGAAGTGATTGGGGTTGTGGGGGAGAAAGGAATGGAGATGCATACTTTTGGAGACCTCAACTACCATTTAGGTGGGACAAAACCCTAGGGGCCACCCAACAACTCCCCCCCCAATTAAGGGGGATAAGTGGCTCTAATGAGGTCATTTCCCCACTCTTCGACTCGGTTTTCTGATTTTTAAAATGAGCTGGTGGGATTGGATGATCTCTTCAGATCCATTAGCTCTAAATTTACGGTCCTTTGAGGTGATGTCTGGCTTTTTTTTTTTTTTTTTAATGACTATCACACATAAATTATCCCTGTCAGCTGGAAACAAGTATATACATTACCCTTGTAAACCTTTCTTACACAAAAGACCAGTCTACAGACGCTGGTAGCCTGGAAGGCTATCCTTTGGGAACATCTTATTTAAACAACCAGATCTTGCAATCTCTTTAAAACATTCAAAGCCAGGTTTCCCCAAAACCATCCCAGACTGAAAGGAAGGGGAGAGTAAACTAATAAAACTTGAGTTGTTGTTTTTTTTCCCCTTAGCTTTATTCTAAGATTTGAAAGATACATGCAGTCTAAAATAAAGTCTGTAACAAAATGTGCCTGGCTGGCACACTTTTTTTTTAATTCCTAAAGTAACAGTCATATACATTTTGATATTGTCATCTCTTCTCACCAGTCAGACATACAGTCAGACATTCAAGTTCATCATCTTATGATAGCCATGAGTTTGCTGAACCCAATCCCGGAACTCCACTTTTCTACTCTTTGTGAAACACCAGACCTAGGCATCCTGCTCCCCCTACTGGTTTCTCCTTTCCAGTACCTTTTTTTTTTTATGTAGATTACCTTCACTCAATTTCCCTACAGAAGAAATGTGTTGTGATCTTTTCTCCCTGGCACCTCTGGTCTCTGAAAGGAATGCACAGCCATTCTTTGGCCTTTAGAGAAGTTTTTATTGCTAATGGAATAGAAACCGAGGTTACATTTCACTGAAGAGAAATACACAGAATTTTTAAAAAAGTAGTAGTAAGGAAGTTGTAAAAGCTGATTTTGGTCTTTCATGCAAAAGTACAGGGAAATATATCCCAATCTTTCTTAGTTCTGCTTTTAGTTCTGTTTACTAAATTGAATTGAAATGCCTTCTTCTGACTGAACTTTTTTTTCCCCCCCAGATCCTTTCTTTTCAGGCAGCCCTATCCAGGGCATCTCATTCCATTTTTATTGTCAGGGATCAATCAACTTTATAGGTGCATTCTTCACCTTCAAAAAGAAAGGAGATCCCAGATCTTTCTATGTCCTTGCCCAGTCCTCATTTCTGAGACCCTAAGATTTGTAGAATCCAGGGTGGTATAGTAGATGTTAATGGGATTTCTAAAAGCCCAGGAAGAATTCTCTCACTTTTAGGGGAAATTCCAGAATGAATGGCTCCACATTAAGTACCATCCCTAAACTTCTTTCTGACAGGAAGTTATTATAAGTCATTTTCTCACAAACAGATAATTCTATTAATAAGTAATAGAACTACAGCTTATAATACCCATCTCACCTCCTATTGAATTGAATTGTAAAGGTCTAACCTTCTGACTACTAAAGATATGCCTTTTACTACATTCCTGACTGGCAATCATTCAGTTTGCTTGGAGACTTTTGCAGAGGATCCAAGGCCTTTTTCACCTCTTGCCTAGAGTTAGGCCTTCCCTACCATCAGCTCAAAGTGAGAAAGGTGGGTGTCTTGAGTTGTATGCATTCCAGACACTGGGGGATGGAGGAAATGCATGGGAGGAGATGCACAGATAGGTGGATGAAAAAGGATATCAGAGGTGCTCCCCCAAAGCTTGGGTGACCTATGGACCTCGTTGCACCTTGAGGCCCAAGGTTTTTCCAACACCCACACAACACAGAAAAATAAGGTGGTGGTTCCTTGTCTCTTCTCTTAAGATTGGGTGGACGGGTGTGCCCTTTAGGAGAAAAAGGCTACTAAGTTGAGTTATTTTTTTCTGAAGGCCTGCTAATGCTCCTGGCTGTCCTGCCCTGTGTCTGACTAGCTGTGTGACCTTGGGCAAGTGGCTTCATATCCTTAAAACTTCAGTTTCCTTATCTGAAAATGTGAAGATCCTGCTTTCTCTCATTCGGAATCTAAAAAAGAACCATCAAATATCCAAATCAATGTGATCAGAAAAGGAAGGGAGAGAGAAAAATCTTTCTCCTCAGTTCTTCTCCTAGCCTCCTGAATAGACAGGTCTATCTGGCTCAATGGCTAATCATTTTGGAGATAGCTCCATCAAAAGGATCAAAGAGCTAGCCTGGAAGGAGGCACGGATCATGTGCTTCCTTTAGCAAGAGGCCAAAAGATATACTTAGATCCATGAAAAATGCTACAGTCTAACCCCTGCTATGCAACAAACAAAAACAAACTTCCACAACTGTCCAAACAATGGTGGAGTCACTGTTTGCCATATTTCAGATCCTCCAAATTAGGATCTAGAGGTATGGGCTCAAACCACAACTTCCAACAAATTAGATGAAATCACCTCAGTCTTTACTACCTCTAGCATTCTCTATAAGGACTACCCAGCAATGAGTCAGCAAACACATTTGTCAATTACGTCATTGGAAGATAAGTTCCTTTGTTAGAATATAAGTTCCTCAAGCTCTTTTTCATTTGTCTTCCCAGCATTTAGCACAGTCCCTGGCATGTAATGGGTACTTAATAAATGCTTGTTGCTTGACTAATTTTAGTGCCCTAGAATGCAATTTGTCCTGGACTGATAAAGGTAGCTAGGTGTTCTCTTACCATTCCCTCATTTATTCGTGGTTTCAACTCCCTATTAACCATGTTTGTTCCATCTTTCTAAGTCTGAAGATCATTCTCCTTGACAGAGAAAACAGAAAGAAAATAAGATTTGAGTAATTCAGTCTTTTCTCTGTAATCCATCATCTCCACCTTCTACAAGAGTCTTTCCTGAAACTCCCACCTAATAGTGCCCTCCTTCCTCAAATTTCAGAACTATTGCAATGGTTTCCCAATTGGTTTCCCTCTCCAAATCATATTCCAACTGATGTCCAGAGAGTTGGATTCCCCCATCATTACAAAATCACACCTCCATTCTAAACTGTGACCTGATTCCCAAACTTCTTATTTAATTCCGCCTTCTATCCAGATAATCTATAGTAGAAGTATACACACATGATAATATTGATTCTGCTTCTCCCTCCATTGATGCTTGCCAGCATATTTCCCCTTGCTAGTTCCTGGATGTTATCATTTGATTATATCTTATTATACAACGCTATTCCACTGTCCTTTTTTTTTTAATCCATTTTGTTCTTTTTGAATGATACTCTTTCACTGCCATATTTCAGTCATAATTCACATTCCTTCAAGTTTCAGTGATACTTAAAAGGTTGAATTTACCCCCTTGCTTTAGCAGTATAAAGATATCTTAGACCATAGGTTTTATTGTTGATTTTCTTCTTGAATATTATCGACTGTGAATTCTTGGTTTTAACGGCTGGCTTTTACTGTACTTAACTTGTCAGAAATGTGGGGATTTTTTTTTCCATCTCTGACCTCCCACACTTTCTGCGTCATTTTCACTTTAAAGCCTTCTTGAATAGATTTGAAGACTATAGGCAAACTCTGCAACCAGTAGGCAGAGGTACTATTGTGAAAACCAGAATTTGGACATGCAGTGGATCTATAACTCTATCAGGCATGCCTGATCAACATAAACTTTGTTGCTATTCAGAATTAACTAGACCTGCTTAAAACTTACCTTGTTAGCAGCTGCCACAAGATGAACATACCCAGGTGTATGCTGGCAAATGTTTAACAACCAACTCCAACATACACATGACATGCTTTTAAGTTTAATCTGCCTTACTGACATTTTTTCCACCAGTTTCTGCAGTTTAGGCAATCAACAAAACAATAAATCAGGACCTGGTTTGAGGTATTTACATTTCCAAGGTATAAAGGCTCATACAAAATTTAACAACTGACTCTCCTCAACTAGTATATTCTAGCTTGTCAACAGGCAATCACAACTTCATGAAATTTATGTGAAAACTAGATTTATTACAAGAGAAATGAACATGCATGTAGAGCCTAAAGAGTTCAAGTTTGCATTTTCATAACAGCAGGATAAAGGAAGGAAGACATACCAGAAATCTCCACCTAAAGGGGTGTGGCATGGGAGGGGGGAAATGTGAAGGTGGGAAAGGACAAAACCCCTCCTGAAGGGGAAGAGCAAGGCAATGGCAAAAGCCCAATTCTTTTCCTTTTGGGAACTGCTAGACTATGAAGATGGGATGGTCTGCTTATCTACAAGTGTCTCAGCTGCATAAACAATTTCCCAGTCTAGTTCAGACTGACTGGTACCTGTCTTGACTCCCAAAGACACACAGGGAGTCCAGTTCGGGATGCAAACAACAACTTATTTCAGCTGAGGGTGGGGGGGTGGGGGAAGAGGGCTTCATCCTTGACACATTTAGGGCCTCCTGCAATGTCTGAGTCCAGTGTTTCTGGAAAATATGGCAATTCAGAAAGAAGTTCAGGGGACCCCTTAACAATCCTTAACAGGCTCCAGTATGCCACTGAATATACCCAAACCCAGCTGTATGCACATCAGACTGGCATGACTCTTGGACTTAAAAGAGAATCAGTCTTTGGCAGGCTGATGGTAGGTCCACTTGCATCTGAATGTAGGGTCTCCTGGAACTTCAGGACAGCCCTCAAACCATTCAGAGAGATGAAATGAGAAGTGTCATACCAGTGAGAAATTCTATGTCTCTTCTACAACAGACCACTGCTATATGACTCTGTTCAAAATCTTACATATCACTATATGGGAGTTTTAGTAGCTGTAGATATTATTCAACATTTGCTAGTATAGCCAATGCCATGAGACATGTACTTGGAACCAAGAATCCTTCAGAGAAGGCTTGTAAACACTACAATGCTACAGGATCAGAAGCACAAATTGTTAGAGCTGGTAGGGAATTACAGGTTATCTACTCTCTTATTTTGACATTGACCCCAGTTCTCAGAATATAAAGATACTGACAATGAACAGATCTACAGTTTCATTGGTATGGGAAACCCTGGCTTAGGAAAGTCCCACTATTCCTACAGGGCAGCACCTATTCCATCTTAGCAATTTATAATAGAGTTACCTAGCACTGAGAGATTAAGCCAATTACCCAGGGTCACAGGCAGTATGTATCAGGGGCCATCTCTGAACCCAGATCTTTCTGGCCTCAAGTTTGGCTCTTTATTACACCATGTCCTGCATACAGTAGGTGCTTAATAAATTTCTATTGAATTGAATCAAAGCCCAGAGAGGTCAAGGGACCTTTTTAAAAGACTTTTTTTTTTTTAACAAGCTAGTAAGCTGAAGAATTGGGACTTGAATTCAGGCCTTTAAACTCTAAAATCCAGTGATCAATTTTCTTTTTCCCTGGATGATCATAACACTAGACTTTTTTTCATTAAACTGTTCCCATCCCTATGGTGTTATGTCATTCTGGTATTGGTAGCATATATCATGACCAAGAAGACATATACTTCCTACTCAGGACTGGCACTTTTCACAACCACCAAAACTCACCTGTTGTGGAAAGAACTTTTCTGCCTCCTTTTTTACATCTCATCCACTTGGTGTTCCCAGTTAATTTCACATTTCTGGATGACATTATTCACAACTCTCCAGGTATAGATTTACTTTTTCAAGGAAGAGTACCATAGTCTGATAGATCTTAGAGCTGGAAGGGACCTTAGAGATCACCTAATGCACCCTATTTTTACAGATGAGGAAACTGAGGCCTAGAGAGGGTAAGTGATTTGCTCAAGGTCACACAGATCCTTTATTTCAGAGCCTAGTTTTGAACCTAGGTTCCTCTGAATCCAATGGGGCACAACTATACAGCCATTTCAGACAGGTAAGGTCAGTTCCCTCTGCGTTATGACATCCCTGACTACTCACTCTCTCTCACCCACCATACCCAATCTCTAGCCAAGTTCTGTCTATTTTACCTTTGCATTATCATTCATATATATGTGCATTTAAGTATGCGCACACTCACATATATACATACACACATACAAATGCATATATATATATATATATATATAAATATGCATACTTGTGTGTATGTATTCCCTTCTCTCTTCCGGCACTAAAAGCATCCTGGTGCGTCCCTCTTGTCCCGACTGGAAGACTACAATAGCCTTCAAACAGGTCTCTGGTCTTCAATTTTCTCTTCACTCCAGTCCTTCTTCCACATCTACGTGATGTTCCTAAAGTGCATGTCTGACCACCCCACCCCACCCTACCCTGACACAATAAATTCCAAGGGCTGCGAATTGGACTCTCCCCTCGTCTTTCCCTTAGCAGCCTCCAGGGGCCGCGGTCCGGTCATGGGGAGTGAGGTTACCCTGTCCGGCCGCGCTGTGACGCTGCCGAGCCCCGCCAAGAGCCGCAGCCCAACAGTCCGCACCGAGGTGACTGCATCGCTGGCGTCATGGCCCCGCGGAGGGTAGCCCTGGTCCTGGCTGGCTGCGGCGTGTTCGATGGCAGCGAACTGCACGAAGCCTCCGCCGTATTGGTTCATCTCAGCCGTGGCGGGGCGGAGGTCAGGGTCTAGCGGGGCTCCGGGGAAGGAAGGAGGGAAAGAGGGACGGAGAGAGAGCATGGCCTGGATCGCCTTGCCCTAGAGAGCGCCCACCATCCGGCAGCAGCTGCTGCAGCCGGGGCTGCGATTAGGGCCGGGGCCGGGACCGGGGCTTGGAAGCGTCCTACAGGAGAGCGCTAGTCATGGCTAACCCCCTAATATCGGCCCAGGCTGCAGTCAGAAAAAGCAGGACGAATTTGCCAGGCCTAACTTCCTCCACTTCTCTTACTTTTCTTTCTTTTTATTTGCTAGCGATATCATTTTTAAAATTGCGATGAACGTGGCTTTTGCTCCGTTTTCTGTGCTCTGGCCGAGTCACCAGCTTTTCAAATGAATGCGGTGCAAATAGAGACTTCCCCAAAGGAAGTAGAAATATTGAAGGCAAAGCTAAGGCTAGAAAGCGGCCCTTTTAGTGCGCACATCTTCCCCACCCACCCCTCGTGGTTTCCACTCACTTAGAAGCTCCAAAATCCAACACCTCATCAAGATGGCCATCGGCCTTTCCCAAGATTACATTGTTTCTATTTTAATTATGTACTTGGTTCTGTCCTTGAGACTTTGTTTTTTGCTTCTGGGGACTGTGGATTTCTAACTTGTAGTAATATTGTTTGTGATATATACATGTTGTTTGTGATGTAACACATAGACTCTCCTTTTCAAAAATCGAGTAGAAAAGGCATTTTACACAGTCATAGATTTTTAAAAGCATTATAAGGCACCTTAGAGATAGTTTAGTCTTACTAATCATTTTAAATGAGTGGAATTATGAGGCTTCAACAGGTAAGTGACTTATCCTAGGTCCTACCTATCCTTTGACAAAGGACAAATGTTTCATGAATATAAATTGTGAAGTCTTAAAATACAGTTTTTGGAACTCCTTAACAGAATAGATACTAATAATGATGAAATAAAGCTTTTAAGGGCAAGGATATGCGTGCAGAGTTATTGTAAAGCAACAGGAATCCATTCTGTGTGTCTACGGGTGATTTTTTTTGGGTTTTTTTTTTTTTTGGTATTTTTGCCTTTCCTTGTAAATTTTTTAAACTTTGCTCCAAAAAGTATTTGTGTGTGAAGAAGATGCATAATCACAAATGTTAGAGTTTTGCTTATATACACTAGAGATAGAGATTAATTTGTTTTTGCTAAATAAAAAAATATAAAAAAGAGATGACATTTAAACCTAATACTTAGTGGTATACTTAACTACAACTTCATATTTTATTAACAGACTACTTAATATATGTAGTCTCTACAAGTTACCTACTTTCTAGAAATTAGTTTAAGCTGAAGTTTGAGGGAAATTGTGGGATTTATAAATTAATAAAATGAACAATTGATGATGATTTTTTTTTTACTGTGAGCCTTTCATTTGCTCTTTAAAAAAAAATAATCCGTTTAGACTCTTCTTTTGGAACAAAATACAGGAAGTGCTCTATGACCATAAATCCAAGGGGTGACTCTATGCTTTTGGTACATTTAAAGGGAATGGCTTAATCTATACACTCCCATGTGTTTTTACTCTCCTTGAATTGTAGCTACAAAATCACACCCATATTGAATGGAATACTAAAATTCTAAATCAGATTCATTTTTAGTAATAATAGCAATATGAAGAGTACCACTAACATTTTTCCTACCATAACTTTCATCTCCCAAATATATTTATTAAAACATTTTATTGTCAGTTTCTTGTTGGACTATTTCCCACTGGAAGAAGGTTTATTTGTTGATTATCTTCTCCAGAAGATACCTGCAGTTTCTCTGGATTCTCAATGTGTCTGGTTATGCTTGCCATATATTGGCTCTGAGGGCCCACATAGTTGTAGAGTGGCTTTTTGACTTTGCTTCCTATTTTCAAATATGTAAGATTTAAAAAAATAGTGATGCAACAGTACCATTTATTTTTTAATTCTGTTTTTGAAGGTAAAGATATTTGCTCCTAACATGGAACAGATGCATGTAGTTAATCACTTGTCTGGCAGCCCAACAGAAGAGAAGAGAAATGTGTTAGTGGAAAGTGCCAGGATTGCACGGGGTAATATTCAAGATTTGGCAGACCTGAAGGTCAGTGAGTTCGATGCAGTTATTTTTCCTGGTGAGTTGGCCTAAAACCTCTTATTCTGTCTGTTTTAATGTATTTTGTTTAGAGGAAAAAGCACACCTACTAAAAGTTCTGGTATATGGATTTGGGAGTGAGGAAATGTGAATTTTAAATTTGGCTCAAGCATTAGTATGCAGGCTAAGTCGGTGGACTGGCTTCGGTGTTCTCATTAATTAATTGGAGTTTGAATTTATGTCACATGATCATAGAACTAAGGATTTGATGGCACTTTTAAGGTCATCTAAAGCAACTTCCTAGTTTTACAAATGAGAAAACTGAGAACTAGAGGAGCTATAAAGGGCCTTCCAGCCCTGGGTCTGGGATTCTGTCATCCTGGGCTTCAAAAGACTGAAAGGCTTGCAGTCACCCAGGTAGTGAGTAGCCGAGCTGGGAGCCAAACCCAGGATCTCTGCCTCTAAATCCAGTGGATTTGCTTTCTCCTCCATCATGGGGCCTTTCCCTTTCAGGATTAAAAGTTTCACAAAGTAAAACATTCAGCTTGTTATTAGTAGTAATTCCTTGATGCTGTTTAAAAAGTATAGTCTTAATGAGATTGACTTGTTTTACCTTATACAATTTGGTTTTTATTTTGAGGGTTTGGATTATTGCAGTAGCCTTCTAATTGGTCTCCCTGCTTTTTGTCTCTTCTGCCTCCAGTCTTCAAACTGCCATCTAAATCCCATCACAATCTGGCTTTAGACTTATTTAACATTGCTTTTCTTCATACACTCTACCTTCTAGCCAAGTTTGCTGTTTCCTAAACTTTGCAGTTAGGTTAGGCTCAGTGGATTCCTGGACCTGAAGTCAGGAACACCTGAATTCAAATTAGGCCTCAGACACTTAGTAGTTGTGTGACCCTGGGCAAATTGCTTCATCTCTGTTTGCCTTAATCCACTGAAGAAGGAAATAGCAAACCACTCCAGAATCTTTGCCAAGAAAACCCAATGGCCAGTATTGGTGTGATATGGTGCACAGGATCACAAAGAGTCAGGCATAATTGAACAACAAACTTCTCACTGCTATCTCCTCCTTCTGGCAGAGGCTATATCATATGCCAGAAGTACACTGCCTCTTCTCCCTGTTATACTCTTTAGTACTCTTTTAGGACTCACCTATGAAAAAGCTTTTCCTGATTTCTCTGGTTGTTACTGTTTTTTTCTGCCTAAAATTTTGATTACTTACCTCTTTATCTGTTGTGTCCTGTCTGTAGAATGGAAGCTTTTTCGCTATTTTTCATTTTATCTTTGTATCCCCAGTGCCTTACACATAATGGACTCTTAATAAATGCTTGTTAGAATGTATTGGTTTGAATTTTGAAAAACAACAATTTATATATTTGATTTCATTACCCCTTGTGGCAGTGTAGTTTGGCATACATTTTTTAAATTACAAAATTAATTATTTTGAAAATTTCTAACATTCCTTCTGAGTACTGTGATATTCTGCTGTATCCCAAAACCATAATCTGGGATCACTGTTGTAGGCAGTCTACAGTAGATCTATTTTTTAAGACTGCAGGTGATTTGGCAGGATTACCTACACGATGAACTGGCAAATGGCAAAGTAGGTCATTTTTATCCACTTGTAGCAACCAGGATTATTTCATTGTAACTTTGCCACAATGATTGCTCTTGAGAATTGATGCTGGTTTGGTATTCTAATATTTTTAGGTATTTTGATCCTCAGAGAACTATTTATTTTTGATTTTATTTTATTTTTTTTTGTGAGGCAATTGGGGTTAAGTGACTTGCCCAGAGTCCCACAGCTAAAAAGTAAGTAAGTGTTACGTGTCTGAGGCTGGATTTGAACTCAGGTCCTCCTGACGTTAGGGCCAGTACTCTATCCACTGCACCATCTAGCTGCCCCAGGAGAACAATTTTTTAAATTACCTTAATTATTGAAATAGACTAAACTGTTTTATCTTTTTTGAAAAGAGAGGTTGTATTTTTGATAAATTTTATTTATTCAGCTACTCTTTGATTTGCTCTTTTTACTTTGTGCCTCTGCAAAGTCTCCTCACTCTGTGGAGGTGCCCTAGGGTCCTTAGAAGTCTTGCCACCAGAGTGCAAATTCTCACAGGTCCTGTTAAACAGAAAACAAGCCAGTACTGGACTGTAGGTTGGGGCCTTGAGTTATGTTCCCCAAAGGTCTTGACCAGAATTTGGCCAGTAGATGATGAACATATTTGGCTCCAGCAACTTATGAAAAATATACTTAAAGGTAGAGCTGTGATTTTTATCGATGGAAGGAATACCCATAACAGTAAAACTGTGGATTTTGAAAAATTTTGTTTTGTGGCAAAGTTCAGAAGAATATGCAGTAGTAAACATTTGCACCTTACATCTACTCTTTCAATATAAATTGTTGACATTTTTTCTAAGAATTCACCCTTAATATAACTTTGAACACTCAAGAACTCTGATCATTGCAATGACCAACCATGGTTCCAAAGGTCTGATGAAGAAGCATGCCATCCTGACAGAGAGGTGATGGTCTCAAGATTCAAAATAAGTCATGTATTTTAGAACACAGATATTGTGACAATTTGTTTTGCTTGACTTTGCATATTTGTTATTTTTCTGCTCTTTTTTTCCCCAGTGGGGTTGGAGGTTGAAGTGGGGATAGGGGTAGGAAAAAGGCAGAAAGGAAAGTGATTGAGACATCTTTGGGAAAAAATATGCAAAACCTTTGGTGGATCTGTCAATCGTTCTACCCATTCTGGAAAGCAATATGAAACTTTGCCCTAAAAGTTATTAAACTCTGCATATCTCTTGACCCAGCAGTACCATTATTAGACCTATACCTGAAAGAGATCAAAGAAAGAGGAAAAGGACCCATATGTTCACATTTATAGCAGCTTTTTTTGTGTTGGCAAAGAATTGGAAACTGAAGGAATACCCATTGACTGGGGAATGACTGAAGGAATAATAGTGTATGTATGTGATGGAATTCTTTTATGCTATGAGAAATGATGAAGGAGGCAATTTCAAAAAAAACCCAGTAGGACTTATATGAACTGATGCAGAATGAAGTGAGCTAACTAGAACAATTTATACAATGACAATAATAATGTAAAAACAAACAACTTTGAAAGACTTAAGAACACTGATCAAAGCTGATCACTGAATTCAATAGAGCTCATGAGGAATGAATGAATGAATGAAAAAATAATTTATTAAGTATTTACTGTGTGCAAACATATTTCCCACCAGACAGAGAGGTGATGAATTCAGAGTGTAGATTCAAACGTGCACTTCTACATGAACACACACATGTATAACACACACACATCCTTGGACAATGTAGGAATTTGTTTTTCTTGACTATACATATATGATACAAGGTCTTCATTTTTCTCTTTTTTCGGTTGTGGGGAGGAAGTTTGGAGAGAGAGGGAAGATAGATTTTGGTTATTTGAAAAGATAAAATTTAATTAGAAAAAAGAAAAGTAAAGGTTACTGAAGGCCAGAAAGAAGCACAAACATATTTGTTTTGAAAGGTGCAGGTAGAATTTATTATATACTTAAACCTGGATTCTTACCTGTAAAGTCAGGTTTTTTTTTCTTGTGCCTGGGCTGGTTTTTTGTTGTTACTGAAGCTTGATCATACAGTTAACACCCTCTTTTTTGTTTTGTACTATCACTGGGCCAGTTCCCTTTGGACAGAATGACAGTCTTTGTTTCTTTGTGTTTATATGCGTCATCTGGTTACTGTGTTACTTGGTATGTTTTTATACTGGTTTTTCCCTTTTCCCTGCATTCAGAGAACATTAAAAATTCTGGGTTGCTATGCTTCCTTTTTTCACCTTAGATTTTTTTTTTTTTTTTGTTAGGGCAATTGGGGTTAAGTGTTGCCCAGGGTCACACAACTAGTAAGTGTCAAGTGTTTGGTCTGAGGCCGGATTTGAACTCAGGTCCTCCTGTCTTCAGGGCCGGTGCTCTATTCACTGCGCCACCTAGCTGCCCTAGATTTTTCTTTTTACCAAAGTTAGTTCAACATCAGTTTCAAGTTTCTACTATTAATGTGATGTAATGATTTCCTAGTTCCACATACTTAGTATTGTAGAATATTCTCTAGGTCCTTGTTCTCAGTTGCCTTAAATGGTCCTGGTACTTTTTGTTATATCTGAAGGTGGATTTGGTGTAGCCAAGAACCTCTGCTCCTGGGCTGTGGATGGAAAGGATTGTACTGTCAATAATATTGTGAAGGCTACTCTGCAGGCCTTCCATAGTGCCAAGAAGCCCATAGGGTTGTGCTGCATATCTCCTGTGCTGGCAGCCAAAGTCTTCCCAGGTTGTGAAGTTACAGTTGGCCACGATAAAAATGTGGATGGAAGGTAAGCAAAATGACTAAAAGTTTACTTGTGAGTGAGCCTGTCATCATGCTTTATGCTTTCTGATTTCTCTTTCCCAAATGAATGTAAGGGTGGCCCTTTTGTTATATTGCCAAAATGCTTTTCATGACTGTACCATATCACAAGTGTGTGATAATGTGGAACAAGGCACAACTCATGTGCCACCTCCTATAAGAGGCCTTTCTTACTTTCCCCAATTATTAGTATCTTTGACTTCTTGAAACTACTTTTTATGTACTTATTTATATAAATGTGGTAGCGAGACATTAGAATGTAAGCTTCTTGAGGGCAGAGACTATTTTGCTTTTGTCATTGTATCTCTACTGTTTAGCATAATATCTTGTGCATAGTTGATACTTAACAAATATTTGTTTATCTTTTAGGTATCTCAGACTCAACATATTGAAAACACAGTTTGTCTTTTCCTGTAAATCCATCTGTCTTACTAACTTCTCCCTTTCTGTTTCCAGTACCTCCATTCCTTCCAGTCGTCCAGAGTCCTAGAAGTCATCTTTGACTCTTCATTCTCACTTATTCACCACGTCAAATCGGTTACCAAGTTTAAGCCATTCTGTCTTTACAGTGCCTCTCATATTATCCACCCCACCTTGACACACATAACTGTCTCCCAAGTTCAGGCCCTCATCATCTGTCTTAATTCTTGAAGTAGCCTCTTAATTTGTCTTCCTGTATCCAGTCTTTTCTCTGTTCAATCCATCTTCCTTATGTCTGCCAAGTTAATATTCCTAAAGCACAGGTCTGACCAGGTCCCTCCCTTGCTCAAGAAGTTTCCATGGCTTCCTATTACCTCTAGGAAAAAATACAGACTCTTCAGCTTGGCATTTAAAACCCTTCAAATCCAGCCACACTGGAGAACCTAATATTCCACATTCATGCCATCCCATCTCCCACCTCTGTACTTTTGCATAGCATATCCCACATCCCTGGAATGCCCTTCACTTCCACCTCTTGGAACCACTTCAAAACTCAGTTTAAGTACTGGCTCCTACAAGAACCTTTACTGATTCTTCCAGTTGTTAGTCCCTCCCCCCAAAAATTACTTTATAGTTATATTGTATATATGTTGACTTTACTCAACAGTGTTCTTGTTATGTCCTTCCAGTAGGACCCAAGCTTCTTGAGGGCAAGAATTTGTTCCATTTTGTCTTTATTAATTAATAGATAGAACAGTGCCTGAAACATAGAAGGCACTAATAAATGCTTCTTCAGTTGAATTTAATTGATTTGAAGCAGTAAGGATAGTAGCTTTGAATCATATCAGAGATACAGTATTCCTCCTTTCCCTCCATCCCTTACCCATTCCCTTCACTGTCTTACTGCAATAGAAATTTTTTCATTCTATTTGGTTATATTATATCACTTAGTTATATGGACCAAAAATGCTTTCCCTGATCATTTGTCATTAGATTTGATATATTTAGCTTTTTCTGTCATATAATGGATGCTTAATTTTCAGCATCAAATTGAAACATTTTATCTTTCCAATGTGGGAATGAGTGTTGTCTTTAAAGACTTTGGTCTTAAATGTTGCAGCTCGTGAGTGAGGGCCAATGTGAGTTAACCAGATCTTCCCTACTGCCATACACTCTGTGTGCCTTAGAAAAGTCACATGTTTCAGTCACATCTGTCTTTCTTTCAATAGGTTTCCTGATGCTGAAACGGCCACTGCTATACAAGAACTTGGATGCAAACATGTTTGTAAGGATGTGGGTGAATCCCATGTAGATTCTACCAACAAAATCATCACCACTTGTGCTTTCATGTGCAAGGCCCCTCTGCATGAGATTTTTGATGGAATTGGAACAATGGTGGGAGAAGTCTTAAAACTTGCTTAACTTGTGACTAGTTTAAATGTTTAAACATTAAAGGTTTAAATGTAAAACATTTGGATGTTCTTGACTGTTCCAATAAAAGAGATTCAATCATAGCCAAGTGGATTCCGCATCACATTGATTAAAGATAACTTAAGTATTATTTTTTGCCCACATATCATTAAGTAACACTCATTGCTTCATCAGGAAATGTAGTCTAAAGACAAGCAAATTACCATTCTTATGCCATTTGGTGTGTTTTGACAAGTAGAAGGCACCATTTTAATTCTACCTTTCAAGCAGATGGATAGCAGAATGATCCAAAGCCTTTTTCCTGAACTGCCAGGTTGGATCCTTCACAGGTGCCAACTGCTATTGGAGGAGGTTGGTTTGGCTTTGAAAAATGTGTCATATAATTTATTGTACGTATGAACTTGGTCTTAGGCCTGGACCCCAGAGTGACAAAGAGAACACTTGGTATTTGAGTTTCTGTACTATGTTTGAAATAACTTCATTAGCTGTTTAAAATATCATTTTTCTGTCAGTTTTCTGCATTTGCGTCCAAGGTGCTAGGCAATTCTTTCTTGCTTTTCCAGGGATAATGCAGATTTAGAGGGACATTCTCAATACAAAGCCTCTGTCTTCAGTAACTGGTAGTATTCATTGGGTTTTGTATTATCATGCGATATCTTTAAAGGGTACTTAGTAATAATAGTTAGCACTTACAAAGCACTTTCAGGTTTTCATAGTACTCTCCTTGCATTATCTCCTTGGATCTACCTGGTCAGTTCTTGTGAATCATTAATAGGAACATGACTTTGGGCCCAGAGGGAATATAATTTCGGTAACACATCTAAGAGTAGAATGGAATTATCTAATTCAGTTTATCCAATATTTTTATTAAGCACCTACTGTGTACTAGGCACTGAAGACTCAAAGACACAAATTAAAAGCAGTCCCTGTCTTTTAGGAGCTTACATTCCACTGGGAAAAACAAACATAAGTAAATGGAAGATAATTTGAGGAGGAAGAGAGCTATCTTTTTAGTCTCAAGTAGAGGAATTTCAAGGAAGATATTATTATTCATGATTAGGTTCTTGCACAAAGTAGGTACCCTATAAATATTTATTGAATTATTACATTGACCTTTTAAAGATAACTTTGCTTGTTTAAAAATTTATTTTTTTCAATTATCAGCATTTTTTCTCCTCTCCCCCTCCCAAATAAATACAAAACCCTTGCAGCACATAAACATAGTCAAGCAAAATAAATTCAAACATTGGCCATATCCAAAAATGTGTCTCATTGCACATATATTAGTCCATCACCTCTCTGTCTTGAGGTGAGCAGCATTCTTAATTAGTTTTTCCACATCAATTGCTATAAAAATGAAATATATTTTTAAAAAGTGATTTTCAGTCTCACATTCTCATTCAAAATGTCTTAATGTAATAGCAAGAGTCAGTAATACTTACAGCCATTAAGGCTATACGTTTCTTTTGCTGCAGTCATATAATAGCCCTGGTAACATCATTTGATTATTGCTTAGTTCCACAAAGCACAGTGTTAGGTGAAATTGAAATTCATGGACAGCTGTATAAGTAGTGTAGAATAGTCGGTCAACAATCATTTGTTAGGAATTTACTATGTGCTGTTTTACACTGTGCTAAGTTCTTAAGGATACAAAGAAAGGCATAAAACAGTCTCTGTCCTCAAGGAACTCACATTTTAAGGGAGAAACAACATGGACCTAACTATGTATGTACAAGATGTATACAGAATGGAAGGAAGCTAATTTCAGAGAAGGCCTACAGAAGGCAGGACTTGAGCTGAGTCTTTTTTTTTTAATTAATTTTGATTTATCAACAATCACTTCCATATGCTTTTGAGTTTAAAATTTTTCTCACCCTTTCTCCCCACCACACTCTCCAAGATGGCGCACAATCTGATATAGGCTATACATATACATTCCTATTAAACATATTTTCACATTAGTGATGTAAGAATTAGAACCAATAAGAGGAACTACCAGAAAGAAGAAACAAAATTCAGCAGAAGAGAAAAAAAACAGCAAATAGTATGGTTCAATCTGAACTCAGATTCCGTAGTTCTTTCTTTGGATGTGGATAGCATTTTGCATCACGAGGCCTTTGGAGATGTCTTAGATCTTTGTATTGCTGGGAAGGGTTAAGTTTATCAATATTAGTCATCATACAACGTGGCTGTTATTGTGTACAACATTCTCTTGGTTCTGCTCATTTCACTCAGCATCAGACCATACATGCCTTTCCAGGCTTTTCTGAAATCAGCCTGTTCATCATTTCTTATAGCACAATACTATTCCATTGCATTCATATACCACAACTTGTTCAGCCATTCCCCAATCCATGGGCATCCTCTCAATTTCCAATTCTTTGCCACCACAAAAAGAGCTGCTATAAATATTTTTGTATATGTGGGTCCTTTTCCCATTTGTGTGATCTCTTTGGGATATAGTCCTAGAAGTGCTATTGCTGGGTCAAAGGGTATGCACATTTTTATCGCCCTTTGGGCATAGTTCCAAATTGCTCTCCAAAATGGTTGGATCAGTTCACAACTCCACCAACAATGTATTAGTGTTCCAATTTTCCCACATCTTTTGAGCTGAGTCTTAAAGAAAGCAAGAAGGAGAACACTCCAGGTATTAGGTATAGATAGTGCAAAGGTAGCTAGATCTGGAAAGGTAGGGTAGAGCCAGGTTGTGAAGGGTTTTAAATGTCAAAATAAGGGACTTTATAATTGATCCTGGAGATGATAGAGGGCCCTGGAGTTTATTGAATAGCTGGGTAATATATTATGAGCTATACTTCAGGAAAATCACTTTGGCAGCTGAAATATTAGAGCTGAATAAATGAAGCAAGAGCTAGCTGATGGAATCTGTTTTAGGCAGACAAGTCAGAAAAGAAGAGATGGTATGAGATGAGAAAGCAGTTTCCAGGGGGACAAAGTGTGGACATTTTCAGAAAAAGACCAAGAAAGACCAGGAAAATACTGTTGGAGGGTGACCCAGTGACACGGCTACTGCAGTGGTGAGCATGAGACCAGCTCAATACTCTTAACCCGGAGGCGCATTGATGAGGCAGTAGACAGCAAGATGGCAGAAGCTCCATTTATTAAGTGTTAGTAGCTTTCTTTTATATCCCTAGTAACACCTGATCAAGGCATGATCTCCATGTGATAGCCAATCACCAAGTCTGCTGGACAGCTGCAGCCCTTGTGTCAGGGGTATGAATAGGACTTTTCTCCCAATGAGAGGAGAACCGAGCCAACCATGGGAGCTGCATGTCGGCAAAGGAGAGGTCTTGTGAGACTTCCTTGTTTTTGCCACGCAACAGGTTGTGACCCTCAGCTTCTGCCAAGAGAAACTAGAACTCCCATGGGAATAATTCTCCCAACAACCCAGCTAGGGAATGGTTATAGGAGGAAGGTATCTGTACTGTCAATCTTAGATTCTCACACTTAGACCAGTCCTGGAAAAGTGGTTTCAGGAGGTCTGAAACACAAAAACCTGGGGGCCAAATCCATATTGTCTCCATATTGTCCAATAGCTTGAAAGACTGGTAAAATCTTGGTGTAAACTATGTCTATACCATTCGTCTGATTTTTCAATGTAGCAACCTAGCAGAACAAAAGAGATGAGGTTAGTGTGGCATGACCTGTTGTAATCGTTGTTTAGACTGTCACTAAGCATTCATTTAATAACACATTTTAGAATTCTTCCAGGAAAGCTGAGTGGCCTATGGTATGTAACCTCCATTCTCTTAACTTTTTTTTTATTTAAAAATGAAACATTTGCCTTTCCCCAGTTCTATAGCACCTCTCCTGTTGTTCACCATGATCTTTCAAAGATCATTGACAATGATGCTACAGTTATATCTACTGCACTGATTCTTTTATTATCTTGGGATGTTCATAGGATTGTAGATCTTGAACTTGAAGGGACCCTAGAGGCCAGTTAATCTAACCTTCTCATTTTACAGGTGAGGGAACTGAGGCACAGGGACATTAAGTGAGTTGCCCATGGCCATACAGGTAGTAACTGTTAGAGGTGGGAATTAAACACACAGGTCCTTCAAATCTTGATTGATTGCTGACTTCAAATCATCAAAGGCAGCTAGGTACTCTCACTATCTCCCTACTCTTATATTTCAGCTCCCCTTTAGGTATTGCATCTGCCCCTCCTCTCGTATACAGACTCCCAGAAAATCATTCCACTTCAAGAAACTCTGTGGGTCAACATCCATGCAGAACCATATCTCACAAACCTGTACCAGTGTGTTTACTTTTACAGAGTTAGAGAATACACTTGTTCAAAACAGAAAACATATAATTAAATAGCATAGCAAAACTAGTGCCAGTAAGGATTTTTCACACACACACACACACACCACATTCTTCCATGGGTTACCACACGATCAATGTTGCAATTGGTACCTATGTAAGGAACATGTATACAGAGCTCTAAGGTTAGCCAGGGAACACATGGCAACCCTGAAGGGTTCACCTATTCAGCTTTTGCAACATGGCTTCAGTATTCCAGAACTTCATGAAGAGTGTTTTTTGAGATTGGCTGGATTTTGATGTATCAAGATGACATTTTTTTTTTTTTTTTTGGCGAGGCGGTTGGGGTTAAATGACTTACCCAGGGTCACACAGCTAGTAAGTTATCATGTATCTGAGGCCGCATTTGAACTCTGGTCCTCTTGGCTCCAGGGCCCTTGCTCTATCCACTGCACCGCCTAGCTGCCCTAAGATGACATTTTAATTTACTTTTGGGACATGGCCCAATGTATCACCCACATCCATAAGGTGCTGGCTTACTTCCACCACTACCAACTCTATGCCTGGTTGGGGAAATGAATTTTCAACCTGACCCAAGTAGATGCCTTAAGGTCTATTTATGGGGTACTTAGATGAATCTACACAAGGTTTATATGTGGTCCTTAGTTCAGAGTCCCTTCAACTCTTAAATATATCCACCGTTTGTTGGATTCTTAGTATACTACTAGGATTTCTCATTCTACCTTTGTCAGACAGACATTCATTTTGGTATAGATTGTGGCTGACCACAGGTGGTCTAGCAAACCAAGTATTTACAGTAGGAAATTGAGTATTGTCTGCATCCTTGCAGAAGGTTTGTGTATGGGGCTGTTCAACAAGCAGCCTGACGTCATGGCACAAAGAACATTAAATGGTTGGGCAATTATGCTTGTGTGTCATAAGGGAAGTAATAGTTGTATCCTTGACAACACTGCCTTACCTCTTTCCTATTCTTAGGCAAGTTTGAAGTACCAAGACTTTGACATCAAGACTGCTTTTGAGAAGCAGCAGCACTATGTGGATAGGGCCAGGCACTATGTCATTGTTCACACTGACCCCTGCAAGCTGGAGTAACTTCCAATGATCTGTCAACTCATTTATCAATTGTCAACACCAGATATACTGGTCTGTCTTTTTAATGTGGTTCAAATTTCAAACATGATATTATTCCTGAGTTTATAAAATTCCTGAGTTTACTACATTGTCCTATCACAAAGACCAGAGAAGAAAGTAGGACCACTGGACTGTTTGGTACAAAACCTTCACTGATACCTAGCTTTGATTAAACTTCATGTTCCTCGTGAAAATGACCCATTTATCCCATGCCAGGAGATCCAACAGGCAGATGTTAATCAAGAATATTTTCCACCTTCATGTGTTTGCTTTCCAGGTCTTTTAAAGTCACAGATCATAATGTTTGTCACACTTGATGAAATAACTTACTCTCTGCTTTTTACATGCTGTCATAGGAATGTGACCACTCCATGACTGTGCCTTTTCACTGGCTGTCCCCTGTGTCTGGAATGCACTCTCTTCTCTCCTCCACTTCCTAATTTCCTTGTCTTTTTTCAAGATTCAGCTCAAATCTCTCCTTCAGAAGACCTTTCCAGGTCCTCTCCGCTGGTAGCATCTTCCCCTCTGAGATTGCATTCCATTTATACTATTTTCATCTTATATGCACCTAGTTATTTGCATGTTGTCTCTCATATTAAAATGTGAAGTCTTTGAGGGCAAGGACTGTGTTTTTGCCTTTCTTTCTTTCCCAACTGCTTAGCACAGAACTTGGTGCATAGTAAGAACTTAATTAATGTGTGTTAACTGTTGAATGATTGCTACCAGGGCTTTGACCTCCCTAAGAACATAGTGACTAGTATTAAAAAACACAAACATCAGTGAAATGCTGGTGCACTTCTATGTGTTACCTTTAATCCCCATGCTGAGGCCATAATTGAAGGCAGTTGCCCCTAGATTGCTGGCCAACATCACCCTTAAACTTACATGATTTTGGCTTCCTAAGCCAGTATCTTCTATGCTGCATTTGGGTCATGGTGGAGGGGTGGGCATGGCTGTCACTGTCTTCATGTAGCTCTGTTTACCTATGTTGCTGTAAGTAAGGTAAATTTTAGTGTTTGTAAAGTGAATTTTTTGTTATTCTTTCTTAGAGTTTTCTTCCCAGGATTCTTAGTCATAACAATCTGTATTTCCCAGGTGTTAGATACGAGTTCTCATGATCATGGTTCAAAACAGTTTCTACTGCACAGTCACGGTAGATATAGGGGTGAAGTGATGTAAAATTGTGAGGCTATTGCTGGCAATGTGCCTTCTTTGTCTGTTGCCCTATAAAGCAAGTGGGCACTGGTCAGTGACCAGGAGTGAATGTGCAGGCTGAATGCTGTTGTGCCTTGATTAGTCCCCATCAAGGCTTGGGAGGGGGAATCTGTGTGTTTGCTCAACCAGCTCCCATTGAAGCTTGAGGGGATTTAGGGGAGTGCACAAGTTGTGCTGGTCTCGACTGACCCCATTGAGATAGAAGGGTAGTTGCCCCCCCTTCATGCCAGCTCCTGAGAGAAGGGTTGTTAGGGAATGCTGTAGGAGTTGGTGCTCCCATTATCAGCAAACTCCCTTTGAGAAGACTAGACTAGAATAAAGTAAACTTATTTAACCCCTTATTATGATTCCATTCCTGTCTTTCTTTTTGACCGGATCAAAAGTGAACCTGCTAGTGAGAGAGGTGCTAGAAGATCTCCTGTGTCTCTTTCCTAAGAAATGGCGCAGTCGATATGTTTATTTGTTCAACAGTTGCTAACATGTAGGATGTGTTTTGTTTGCAGGGCTATCTATGTCAGTCTTGTTAGCCTAAAGTATTCTGGCTAAGAAATCACACTATGTCCTTTTGCTTCCTTTCTCCTTCTTCTGGGTAAGGTGGCTGTTTTAATTTCTTGTTTTAGAATGAGTTGTGAGAGAATGTAGACAGTGACAGTTAATAACAAAATTTATTAAGTAATGAGAACAGCAACTACAAGATATTAAAGGGGTCAAGTCTGAGGGCTAGGGGTTGGGATATCGAGGGTCATCAGAGGAGGAGGGGAAAGAGATATAAATGAAACAATACAAAGTCCCTGCTCAGGAGGAGCTTATAATCTAATTGAGAAGAAAGAATACAAATGTAAACCAAGTGTAATTGAACATACAAAACAAGCATGGAAATATTAAGGGAGAGAATATGCTCAGAGTGGCTACACAGGGCATCTTTATCAAGTACATTATCAATATCTTCTTCTTCTTCTTTTTTTTTTTTTTACAAATTCAGACTGAAAGCATGACTACACTACAGTAATTAAATGTCAACCTTTACAGGTGGGAGGGAACAAAAAATTAAGTAATTTTTGCCCAAGTTCTCCAGGGATTGATAGGTTCTGACTACTCACTCATCTGGTGCTTTGTACAACCTCTTCCATAGCTTTATTACCTGGATCATCACTTCTAAGCATGCAGATCTCTGTATCTAGCTACCAGGCTGTCTTGCCAAGTCTTGGGACTAATTAAGAATTCTCTTGGTGGAGGAAGCTGTAGAACTCTTCCCTCAGATTAAGAAATAGCTTATTGTATTGACATTTCTCCCCAAATATGGAGCTCTTGAAAGTCCATCAGTCAGTAAAACTATTTGGAAGTGGCTAAATTTGCTGGTAAGGCACTCTGCAGCCAAATTTTATTTACCTTCTTGCATCTGACACTACCTGTGTGACCTTAGGCAAGTAACATACTCCCTGGGCCTCAGTTTCCAGTTGTAAAATGAAGAGTTTGGACTAGAGAGCTCTGAGGTCTCTTCCAGCTTCAGGTTTATGATCCTGTGATCGTATGAATGTCTTGCAACCTTCTCCTGCTGTCTTGAGCAATGTGTACATTACCTTGCAAATTTTCAGGTTGCCTTAAGAAATATGTCCATTACTTTTGACAGAGCAAGATAAACTTACCATTTCCATATATGCCAGGTGAGACATATCTGAATTGAGTTTGTCTTGCCTGATTTAACACTGTTTATTTAATTTGTTGATTGATAAGAAACCCAAGTTTCAGGTGCTTGCCCTTTGAAAGCAATTACTAAATCATGGTAGCTGGGAGGTGTAGTGGACAGAGTGCTAGATTTAGAGTAAGAAGACTTGAGTTCAAATTCTATCTCAAACACTTATTAGTTGTGTGGTTCTGGGCAAATAACCTCTTTGTGCCTCAGTTTCCTTATCTGTAAAATGTACTGAATGACCTCCAAGGGCCCTTCTAGTTCTAAATTTATGATCCTATGAATCTTCAAAGTGTCAAAACCCTTCAATCCTTTGGAAGTATCAAGAGAGGCTATGGGTGGGAGAGTACATGCTGAATACAATTTGAAGTCTTCTTTGGTAGACAAGGCCCCCTTAAAAATGTGGTTAACAGAGAACAATTCTCTATGTCTTCTAATCTGTTCACTGTTTTTATAATGCCTTCTACTGCCTCAGAGGGGAGCACAGTGGAAGAATTGGCTCTAAATTTTTCTTCTAAGTCTTCCTGATTCAGTGGTTTCCTCCAGTGACCATAAAAAGTATCACAGCGTTCTGTGAAGGTATTTCCATTCTCAAGGGTGACGCTCATCTCACAGTAGAGGGTATCAAAGTTAGGCTGATTATCAGGAGGGTACTCCAACACTACTTTATCAAGCAGCTCCCTTATCTGAGGCCTGTCAACCTGGCTCTTGTGGAATGACTGGACTGAGATGCCACCATCAAGTAACATAGCGCAGGCAATGAACTGGAAGGAGTGCCGGGCTTCGTGCTCTGAAACTGGGAAAGGCCTATTCACGTATTTGACATCAGGGATTCTAAGCACAATTCTTTCGATCTTGTCAGTGGGGAGCAAGTACTTCCTCACAGAAGCAGCTGCATCTGCCACCCAGTGTGTTCCTAAGTGGGCAGGGAAGCGCTTGGTGGCTATATCTTGGTGGTCCAGCAGCAAAGTGTAAGATTCTAAAGCTGGTAGGGCTTGTGGAGTGTAGTTGGAATAGAAGGCCCCAAACCCTGCCTCTGTGTCCAAGATCTTCTGGTTCCCTTGAAGGCCCAGCAAAGCCAGGAAAGCAGCTTCTAACCCATGCCTGGCTGCGTTGCCAATGTGGAGAGGTTTGGTCTGTGTGGCTGCATTTGCCATGGGTGCCCCTGCATAGGAAACGGCAATAGCCATAGCCTCTCTGCACTTTGTTCGATCAAGCCCTAAAAACTTGGCTGCAGCAGCAGCGCTGCCCAAAGTGCCCACAACTTTTGGTGGATGGAATCTGGAAAGCAGAACACAGAACAGGCCAGTTAATTGTGGTGTATTAGAGAGGCTTATATTACATTGATGGCTAAAACCCCTTGCAGGGGATTATTAAAAACACAGGGCAGGCAGTGACTTAGAAAGGTAAGCCATTATCTTGCATGCTCAAATATATGGTGAAAGAAAAATCTCTGGGGAATTTGAGTTGGGATTTTGGCATCAATTCTAGTAACTAGGCTCTAGGGAACATCTCAGAAGGAAATGAGGCAGATAGGACAGTCAATGGGGAGGTACTACAGATAAGGTCAAACAGACAGAAGGACAGTGGGTATTCTAGTCTAGTCTGCCCTTGCCTACCACTGTACCATCCCATAGTTAGCCTTGGTAAAAAGCAGTTCCTGCCAAGGATGGGACACTAAATGGAAAACCACTGGTTGTAGAAGGTTCATTCTGCACCAGGGTTCCCCTGACACCATCCATTGTGCCAAGAGGAAGAGCCAAGACCCAGATCTAGCATTCCTTCATCTAATAGCTGGCCCTACCAGATACTGAGTTGACAGTTAGTTGTGAACTCTGTTGGATTCTCTTTACTTCTTTCCCTGTTTGCAAGAAAAATGGTTGTGGGGACTCTAAATAAACTGAACTGTGTCTTTCCTGCAACTCCTTAGTAAAGAGAATGCTTACACACTGGGAGAATGCTGGGTTTAGGAGATGGGTCTCCAACTGTGTGGCTGATTTTCTATTATAGAATACTTATTTCTCTTATTGATTACTACACAAATGAGCAAAACACCACATAGTGTCCACACATTTCTTTATAATGGGGGCTATTTCCATTATGAGCACATGACTAGAGTTCAGTAAAATGTAGCAGGTTCAGTAGCAAGTCAAGGTCTTCTGGTAAGTAAGAAATCTCAGATCTATTCTGATTAGGTAAATCCTCCCTGATCTCACCCTTTGGTTAATGAGAAGAGTGTTGCCACCCGAGAGAAGTGGACCTGGGGATCACTCACTCTTGAAGAACCAAAAGAAAGTCTGCATTTCATCAGCAGTTCCCTTAAGTGGTGTAGAGTTTATGATGGTCAGGTGAATGAATTGGTTAGTCCATAAGCATTTATTAACTGCTTACTATGTGTTAGCATTTGCTAATAGCTGATCTTTTTTTGATAAATAAGACTAGGATAGTAGCTAGCAATGCCAACTGGTGGTTAAAATTAACCTTTAGTATTAGATAAATTTAATGGAGATCAGAGCCCTAAAAAGCATCAACTATTTTATATTTCATTTTGCCTAACTCTGGGACAAATTCTCTCCATACCTCTTCGGTATGTCACTGGCTTCCTTGGAGAAATGCATTAATCGGCCTTGTACTTCAATCCCAACATTGAAAGCCAGCAGCAGGTCAAGTCCAGAAACCTTGGGATTTTGAGGTAAGACTTCTGATAAAGCCAAGAGGACAGGAAGTACTGGCCCTGAAGGATGTGTAGCAGGGTGCCATGTATCATCAAAGTCCATTGAGTGAACCTTTGTAGGATAGGAAAAACACACACACACAAATATATAGATTCATTTCCCTTCAGTCCCAATGGACTAAAAACAATAGAGAAAAAGATAACTTTGTCAGAGATGAGATTTTATCTTAAGTTCTCTATATTCTCATTAAGTCTGAGGAAGGAGCATGGTGTGGATTGGGGTGGAGTTCAAAAGACCTGGGTCCAAATTTTGTAATGAAGAAACCACCTGGAACAGCGTATATAAGGTTTTAAAACTTTTCAATGTTTGTTTAAAGTTTTTATATCTTTGCCCTTACTAGTGTATTATAGCCAGTATTAAGAGAAATCTGTGGTTAACCCCAAAATGTTATTAGTCTACATGTATTTAATTTACTCAAAGACAGCTGAGAGGTAGATTATGGGGGGGAGGGGGAGGGGGAGAGAGGGGGAGGGGAGGGGGGAGAGAGAGGAGAAGATAGGTAAGGAGGAAGAGAAAGGTAGGAGAGGGGCATGAAGAAAGAGAGGTGGGGACAGAAGGGGAGAGAAGGAGGGAGGTGTAAAGGGAGAGGAAGAGGGAAAGTCCTCCCATCTGGGGACTTGAAGGAACTAAAGAGATTTTTCTTGAAAGCATATTATTAAACTTCTTAAAAACAGAGAAAAAAATGAACCCAGGTCACTCATGAATTACCCTGAGCACACAAGAACTTAATGATATAATTAGGGGATTGGTAAATCAGAAACTCATGGACATCGGCCTAGGATACTTCAAAGGTCCCTTTGTTCTTCCCGTATAAATATAAGAGGCACCTCCCACAAGGTGGAGAGCTGATCACAGTGACTAGAGAGAAAATAAGTCTCAGAAGAGAAGGGGTGGGAAAAAGGGGCATCCAGAAAAAGGAAATGGGCAGTTTTTCTTCTAGGCCAAATACTTCCAACTCCAAACACTGCCTTCTCAAATAAAATCTTTGTGGATATTGTCATGCTTATTTGTTTCATTTCCAAATTCTTCCTAGATGTTTCTACCTGGATGTCCTGCTGTTATCTGCAACTGGACATTTATAAAACAATTCACTATTTTCTCCCTTAAAGAGACTTCCCTTTCTCATGCAGGATTGAAGCCTTGTAGTTGTCTCTAACTTTTCCTCTTTCCTCACCTCTTGCATCAAGTTAATTGACAAGTCCAGCTATTTCCTCCTCAATAATCTTCCACTCAATCCCTTCTTTTCCATACCCACTGCACTGCTTAGCCACCTATCATCACTCATGTCTGACTCATTGCAGAAGTCTTCTAATTTGTCTTCCTGATTTCAGGCTCTTCACACCTCTAAGCTGTCATGCCATCTTCCTAAACCATTGCTTTGATTATTTCAATGCCCTGCTAAAAAATATCTTCAATAGCTCCCCAGTACCTACTGAGTAAAGTCCAGATTTTGTATCTTAGCATTTAAGACCTTCTGTTATCTGGCCCTAACCTACCTTTCCAGTTTCGCTTCCAACTACTACCACATAGAAAATTAACCTCCAGTCAAATTCCTTTACTTATTGTTTCTGAAATACTATATTATATAATATGATATAATATAATAAACACATTTATGTAATACTTTGCTTGAAGTGCTATCGTCACAACAACCCTAAGTTGTTGTGAGGAAAGGGAAGCACAAGTATTGTCATACCCATTTTACAGATGAAGAAAATGTAGTTTTTGAGAGGTTAAAAGACTTGTCCATGGTTGTATAGCCTGTATGAGTCTGAAGCAGTTTCAAGATCAAGGTTTCCTGATTTCAGTGCTGGCACTGGATACACTATTACTCCCTGTCTGTTCTTTTGACCTACCCCCTTCCCCACCACCATTGAAACCTTTGAAAGCCAAGCTTAAATGCTATTTCTTTCATATGACTTTCTCTGATTACCCCTGCCAAAAATGCTTCCTCTCCATTCTGAAATCCTTTAATAGAATCGACATCACCCATTGTAAGATTATCTTAGGATTCCTTTGATGGTTGTAACTGTGTGTATCAGTTTTATATTTCCCACTAGATGAAGTGCTTTGGCATTGAGTTTTTTATTTTTGCCACAGAGATCTGGAGAAAGAGTCCAGACTTATAGTTGGGATATCCTAAAAGTGTTCTGTACTTCATGAAAGCCTCCTTTTCCCCAAGTCCTTGGTTTCATCCGTTCATAGATAATTTTATCCTATGAAGCTTCTAAAAGGGCTTGTTTTAAAAACTTTAGAAACAACAGAGACAAAAACTGGTGATACTGATTATCTGAGACTTGAAAAGCAACATAAAAATACTTACAGCTACTCCATTTACGAAAGCGGCATATGTGGGTGGGAGCCTGAGATCTGGATGTCCCCAGACGCAGCTGGAGGCGTCACTACTGTAGATCTGGAACAAAAGCAGAAGAGTTAAACTGGGGCAGTAGGTCACCACTGGTGTCTTGCTTGCTCCTTCCTCTTTAATGATTGGGGTCACTAGACTAACAAATTTTGATGACAAATGTAAATCACATTCCGTAAATTTCTTCTTCTTTGGTTTAGGGGGTTATACAACTTCTCCTTCACATCTAGATTAGAGAAGTCCGTGAGCCTCTCATACAAGTTCCTGATGCAGACGATGGGAGGTATAGAGAGGTTTGACTTACATGCACATTTTTAAAAAAAATTTCAGTTCTAAATTGATGATTCTAGATATTTATATCTACTGTATATATATTTTTTATTATATGTATTATGTGTGTGTGTGTGTGTGTGTGTGTTTTAAACTAGACCTGCAATTGTATCAGTGTAAGGAGCTCCTGGTGAGGAATTTCCTCTGCTACTGGAGATTGGGACTGCTCTGCAATTTAGTTTCAGAGTGGCATGGAACACTTAGAGGCCAAGTGATTGCCCTGGGTCAAACATCTATTTTTCGCCAGAGGTGAGACTTAGACCCAAGTCTTCTTGTTTCTGAGACCAGCTTCCTAGTCACTATGCCAGGGTCACTCTAAATAGATTTTATTTATTATAGGCATATTGTCAACAATGTATTATGTAATATATTATTATAAATATGCAGGTTACTACATATACACATATGTGTAAATGCACATATACACATGTGTACACACATGTGTATATATGTGTATATATACATGCACACACATACGTGTATATGTATAGACACACACACACACACACACATATATATATATATATACATTAGATCCTTCATAGATATACTCTTCAGGCAACTGTTTAAGACTTTGAGGTACAAAGAAGATGCCGATCTGCTTTGGTAGAGGAAGCTTCCTCATCACATGGGGAGTTCCTTACATATATGAAGTCACAGGTCTGATCCAAAAAAAATTACTACAAATACCTATATTATAGAAACACGTTTCTGGAATACAATGTTTATTATCATAGACATACTGGACATATTTTGCATAAATAACAAATAAGTGCCTATATAGCATTATATTACTGCTAGAGATATATGTCTACAACATATACAAAGCTTATTATTTTTTACTGTACATACACACTCTATATGTAGCTGCATCATAGATATGTTTATTGTTTTTACTCTTTACATTGTATATGTTGCTGTATCATAACTCAATTTTTGTACTATCATGGATCTGGACTATGTGTGTGTTTTTAAGCTATTAAAGCTTAACTGCATTAAGAGTTTTGGGACAGTGGCAGCTAGGTGGTGCAGTGGATAGAGCACCGGCCCTGGTGTCAGGAGGACCTGAGTTCAAATGTGACCTCAGACACATAACCCTCACTAGCTGTGTGACCTTGGGCAAGTCGCTTAACCCCACTGCCTAGCCAAAAAAAAAAAAAAAGAGTTTTGGGACACCCTGTATGGGTGTGTATGTGTGGGTATGTATACACACAGACATATGTATATATACTCACATGTATATATGCATGTTCCAGATCTTATATGTATTATGTATGTATATTATATATACATACATATATAGTCACATATGTATAAATGGTTTTTGTCTAGACCTGTGATCTCACTGGTGTAAAGAAATTATATAAACTACTGCTATTGATTTTACTGATGTAGTTTACCAATTTGTCTGAAATTTATAGTCTTAGCATTAACAAGTATTTTTTTGGTACGAATTATGTGATGCCAGGCACTGTGGTAAGTGCTGAGCACGCAAAGAAAAGAACAAACAGTTCTTGTTTTCAGGGAACCCATACTTTAACAGGGAGAGACATGTAAACAAGTTATATACAGGATAAGTTGGAGATAATCACCAGAGGGAAGACATTCAACATTGGAAACATGTGTAGGTAATATTGGAGTCAGTGGGTGGTATGGTGGACAGAACTCTGGGTCTGGAATTGGGAAGATCTGAGTTCAAAAGTGTCCTTAGACACATACTAGCTGTGTGAGCCTAGGCAAGTCACTTAACCTCTGACTGCCTCAGTTTCCTCATCTGGGATGAAGGATAATAAATGGGGATAATAGTAGCACTTAACTTGCAGGGACAAATGAGATAATATAAGGGTACTCAGCACTGTCTGGCACATAGTAGGTGCTATATAAAGGCTTATTTCCTTCCCTTATCCATTAAAGGGGATTGGGAAAGGCTTTTTGCTGAAGATGAGATTTTAGTTGAGACTCAAAGGAAGTCAGGGAAGCTGGAAGGCAGAAATGAGGAGGGAGAGCAGTTCAGATATAGTGAACAGCTGGTAAAAAACAAAACAAAACAAAAAAACCAGTCAGGAGATGGAGTATCTTGTTCAAGTAACAGCAAAGAGGCCAGTGTCATTGGATTATAGAGGTGAATAACATGTAAAAACACTGGAAAAATAGTAAAGATCCAGGTTATAAAGGGCTTTAAAAGCCAAACAGAGAATTTTGTTTGATCCTAGGGTAATAGGGAGCCACTGGCATTTACTGAATAGGGAGAGTGACATGGTAAGACTTGTACTAAAAAGATCACTTTGAAAGCCAAGTAAAGGATGGGATGTGGTGGGGAGAGAATTAAGGCAGGGAGATTAACAAGAAGGCTATTGCGGTAGTCCAGGGATGATGGGATCCTTCGCCAGGATTATGGTCATGTCAAAGGAGAGAAGGGGAAGCGTATAGAGAAATGTTAAAAAAGTAGAATCTACAGGATTTGGCAACAGCTTGGAGATGGGGTCGTGAGAAAGAGTGAGTAGCTTAGGATGACACCTTGGTTGGAAGCCAGGATGACTCAGTGGATCGTGGTGCTCTTGAAAGGAACATGTAAGTTAGGAACAGAGGAGGGTTTAGGGCAAAGGTAGAACATTTGCTTTGGCACTGAGAGGTTGTGATTTGCCAATGGTCACACAGTATGTATCAGAGGTTGGACATGACCACACATCTTCCTGGCTCCATGCCCTGTCTGCCACAATGTCCTGCCCCTCTATATTATGTCACATTATCTTTTATTAAACTATGCTATGTTATATCACATTACACTAATTGTCAGGCATATTTGTACCTCTAATATATACTTTTGAACTCTTACTTTACTATATTGTGCTGTTTTGTGGAAGACTTCTGTGTTGGTTCCCAGTAGGCCAACACCCAGAGTGTCCAGGATCATCCTCTTACTTCTCTGAAGGACTCGATCTGTCAGGTGCTGTATATTTAGGCCATGGATGACACTGGCAAAGCTTTCTGTGATGGACTTAAAAAGGAAATATTTTTCAATGAGCAGCAGATGTCATGCATTTATTCTTCCATACTTACTTCTTACAAGAGGAGTTAGCATTTTTGCTTAGAGGTATGTGCCCCTTATTAGTGAATTTAATATACAGAGATAAGAAATTGTAGGCTCAGAATCTGAGCGGTGGAAGCCACCTTAGAAACCACCAGATCCAATGCCCTCCTTTTACAAAGAAGGAGCTTTGGGCACAGATTGGTGCAGGCACTTGTCCGTGGTCACCCAGATGGCTCTGGCAGAGCTAAGACTTGATCCTGGGTGTGTCATGTATTTCCCACTTCACCAAGCTGCTGAATCCTTACAAAAACAGATTGAGATCATTATCTCTATTTCACAAGGGCCCTTTGCTTTACAAAAAGAACCATGACAAGGTTTAAAATGTAAACTTCCTGTTTTAAATGAATTTAAGATAAGATTTGATTTGTATACTTTTTAAAAAACAGGTTTTATTTATGCCCTTTATTTTTACATCACAACCACATTTGGATGTGGCATAATCCTCCTGCCAGGAAAAGGGATGTATGTTTTATAATCTATTCTCTGAGACCAAGATTGGTTAGTATAATTATTCAGAGTTCAACTTCCTTTAGTTGCACGTAGTTTTTTTTTTTTTTTTTTTTAAGGCAATTGGGGTTAAGTGACTTGCCCAGGGTCACACAGCTAGTGTTTGGTCTGAGGCCAGATTTGAACTCAGGTCCTCCTGACTTCAGGGCCGGTGCTCTACATGTAGTTTTCTAAGAATATGCTAATTATCTACAATGAGGTATACCTGCATTCTTGAGCATACCATGCTAACCCCCACCCCTATACATTGTCTCATTTCTTTGAAGCCAGTAAGAGGAACGCCACCACAAATGACTCCAATCCCAATGACTGACTATTCTTCATCTAAGGGTTTTGTCTGTGAACTTGTCTCAACTCCAGATTCTCTAAATCTAAGCCAAGTGTCTCTAACATTTTCATTAAATAGGCATTTTTAATCACCTACTCTGTATGGGTCACTGTGTCTTTTGTTGTTGCATGATGAGTTACTAGTCATTTTTTTAAAGCCTTGATATTAATGGAGGCTGTTGTGTTGGGGTTTTCACAGTGAAGTCTCTGAGATGGAGCTGAGGGCCAATTGGTCAGAAGATCATAGATCCAGAGTAGGATGGGAGTTCAGAGGCCATTTCATTTTATAGATGAAGAAGCTGAGGCTGAAGGGAGTTAAGTGACTTACCCAAAGTCATATTGATTGTAACCATCAGAGTTGGGATTTGAACTCAGGTACTCAGATTCCTGAGCCAGTGCTCTTTTCACTACACTAGGGGAAGGGAGGGAGAGAATGAGCATTTCTATAGTGCCTACTATGTGCTAGGCACTGTGCTGAGCACCCTTTTACAAATATCTCATTTGATTTGAGGGAATCTAGGTGATCCAGTGGATAGAGTGTTAGACCTGGAGTCAGGAAGACTCAGCTCCCTGGGTTCAAATCTGGCCTCAGATACTTACTGGCTGTGTGACCCTGGGCAAGTCATTTAACCCAGTCTGCTTCAGTTTCCTTATCTGTAAAATGGAGAAGGAAATGGCAAACCACTTCATTATCTTTGCCAAGAAAACCCCAAATGGAGTTGCAAAGAGTCGGAAAAAAACCTGAACAACAACCACAACTTACATTTGATCCTTACAATGACCTTGTGAGATAAGAGCTATTGTTATCTCCATTTTACAGTTAAGGAAGTGGGCAAACAGAAGTTAAGTGACTTGCCTAGGGTCACACAGCTAGTCTGGGGCTAAACTTAGGTCTTCATAATGCCAGGCCCAGTGCTCCATCCATTATTCCACCAACTGCTTCAAGAGAGGCCAAGTGAGGGGCAGCTAGGTGGCACAGTGTTTAGAGCACCGGCCCTGAAGTCAGGAGGACCTGAGTTCAAATCCAGCCTCAGACCAAACACTTGATACTTACTAGCTGTGTGACCCTGAGCAAGTCACTTAACCCCAATTGCCTAAAGGAAAAAAAAAAGAGAGAGAGAGAGAGAGAGGCAAAGTGGGAGGCATTCCGATTTTATGCTCTAGGAATCAATCACTGCAAACCCAATTTAAAAAGGGAAAAGAGGAAGAGATTATTGTGACAGTAGCCTCTTTGGAGATTTACCAACATATCTGTATCTATTTCTGGGAAATGCAGTTCTAAAGCATGCTTTCTCTTTCCAATTCTATCTTTACATTGGAGCTGGTTAGTGATAGTGCAGAGTTCCTTTTTTCCTCTACTGGAACAGGCTATCAGTAATGGCACTACCACGTGGGGAAGAGTTGGTTGTTCATGGGATGAGGTTCAATCATAGAAATCATAGGCCCTCAGAGCTGGAAGGAATATAGGAGGTTAATCTGGTCTGGTACAAACCTCGCTTGACATATGAATCTCTTCTATGACATTCCCCACAAGTGTTGGGGAACTCACTACTTTGTGAATAGTTCATTCCATTTGGAAAACACTGGGAGAGTAGATACAAAAGTGGGATCTCAGAGTCGGTTGTTATATGCCTATTCCAACTCTGTATTACCATGAATAGTGCAGGCAGTCACTCCATAGAGAAGCCTGCTTATAAACCTTTAAATAAACGTAGTCATTCATATTTATATAGCACTTGGCAGTTTATAAAGGGCTTTCTCTCCCCCCCCCAACTCTGTGAGATAGCTATATTAAGTATTATCACCTCTATTTTACAAATGAGGAAACTAGAGCTAAGAGTTCAATGGATTGCTGAAGGCCACCTGGGTAGCATATAATAGAGATGGCATTAAAACTCGAATCTCTTTTGACTCCAAGACCAATTCATTTTCCACTATGCTACAAGGCATCTCATGCTTCCAAAGGACAAGTAACCCTACATTGGCCCTAAAGGGACAATGTAAGAAAAATGAGATGAAGAGAAAGAAATAAGTGACATTCAACAACCTGTGAACTTAACTTTCTCCCTCTTATCTTAAAAATAACTTTTTGGATCTGACTGATTTTTTCTTGTCAGCTGAGAAAGCAGTGTGGTAAAAGGGAAAATCATTGGTTCTGGAGTCAAAGGGTCTGGGTTCTAATCTTGACTCTATTATTCTTTACATGTATGACCTTGGGCAAAACACTTAAGTTCTTTGGACTTCAGTTACATCCTATGAAAAAGGAGAGGTGTTGGACTAGGTGATTTCTTAGGTTCCAGTCACTCTAGGTCCTATGTTTATTGAAAACAACAATAAAAACTATGCTCAAAGTAAAAAATAAATAATACTATGTTAACTAATCTATTTTTTATTTAAGCATTTTATTTCCAGTTCTATATTCTCTCCTTCCCTCCAGCCTTTCCCCTCCTATTGAGAAGACAAGAAATATGATACCCATTATACATATGAGTTGACTAACTTCTTAATAAGTCATGTCTATTTATTGTCTCAATTTAAAAAAAAAAGAACAGTTAACCAAGTCCCTTATGTTTATAGTATCAGATGAAGAAAAAGATGTATTCAATTTTTCAATCAATAAACACATTATATATTCACTATTTGTCAGGTGCTTTGCTAGGCACAGAAAATACAGAGAAAACAAATGAAAAAGTTTTACTTCCCCAAGGACCTTATATTCTATTGGGGGGAAAACATATAAACATATAAATATAACTAGTATTTGAGAGTGATCTGTAAATCAGAGTTTCCATTTAAATAAGGTAAAATGCCATTTTCAAAGCAAAAACATCACATAACTGGAAAAGAGAGTAAAGAGATGAAAATCAAACCAAAAGAAATAGGCTGTAACATAATCATACCTTGAGAATCATTCTGAGCTGAAGAAGAGGACAATTCCAGGAACAAAGCTGAGCAGTGACTTGAACAAGCGCTCAACTTCCTTTATAGAAGCCTTCAACTTTTTTTCCCACCACGCCTTGCCACATCTCACTTTGCTCAGTCACTTCCTTCTCTAAACTCAGGAATTTCCCCATTTCTCCAATATTTTCATTTCAATTGCCTCCATCATGAGCTATAGCTCTTTGGCCTATCCAAACAAAGTAGGGAATTACTTTGGAGTACTTCCTATGGAGCATGTGTGGGGATGGGACTGTGCCTTGGCCCCTTCCTGTGGACCACCTTCCAAGGGACATGTGAATCCACTGGCTCCTGGTTGCTTCTTTGGTCCTCATGATAGGTAAAAGGGACTATGTCAAAGAGGATTGTTGACTAGTGAAGTAATAATTACCCTTTCAGCAGGCCAGATAAGAGATCAAAGAGAAAATCCTCTCTCTCTTTGTTGGATCATGACATGTTGGATCAGTTTTCCTTCTAATAAGGGTTGGGAAGGCATTTTTCTCCCCTTCCCCACCTCAGCACTAGCTGTGTACACATTGCTGTGTACAGCAATGAACCTGTATTCGAATTACTTAACACAGTTCCTGGCAAATTGTTCAGTCATTTTTCAGTTGTGTCTGACTCAGGCTAGATTTGAACTCACAATGAGTCTTCCTGATTTCAAGACCAGTGCTCAATCCACTGGGCCACCTAGCTGCCCTTTTGTTGTTGAGTCATTTCAGTCACATCTGACTCTCCATGACCCCATTTGGGGTTCTCTTGGCAAAGATACTGGAGTGATTTGCCATTTATTTCTCCAATGCATTTTACAAATGAGGAAACTGAGGCAAACAGGGTTAAGTGACTTGCCCAGGGTCATATAGCAAGTAAGTGTCTGAGGTTGGATTTGAACTCAGGTCTTCCTGGCTCCAGGGCTGGCACTCCGTCCACTGTGCCACCTAGCTGCCAAATAGGCACTAAATGAATGCTGGTTGGAGGACTGACTGAACCAGAGACTGGGTCTCAAGTCCTCAGTTGCCTCTTTTGCTTTGTGTTTCTTTCCCTTAGTACAGGTCATCAAACAGTGATCCTAGGAGAGTTTCAGAGGCTCTGACCCATGCTCTGATTCAGTTAAGAGTGATGTCTTTGAAGATAAACCACCATTCAAATAGAATTTTTAATTCTGCCACAGTTCTAATTAGGTGATTGATTTAGGTCAGCCATGATAAAAAGGTCTCCCTTCAGAGTCTGTATTCAGGCATCTTTATGAGTCTGTAGACATAGTCTGCTTGCTTTTCTGCATATACAACATACTGTCTTTCACCTCTGTGTCTTTGAACATATTAAGCTACCCTCCTCACCACATGCCTGGAACGCTTTTTCTCCTTACCTCCAACGTTTGGAACCTGCTTAAAGTCCTTCAACAGGCCTTTCCTGATTCTTCCAGTTGAAAATCTCCCCCTTCCATAAACACCCCAACAAAAACATTTTGTATTTATTCCTTATGTAAGGGGAGAAGGAATGATTGAATAAATCAAACAACTGGCTCTATTTAAAGTAAATGATAAGATGCCGAGCCCTGATACAAGTATCAAGTGAGAATACACTTCAATTGTTCGATAGGTTTGGACACATCCTTGATACAACAGAGAAGTGACTGTGTTGGCTGAGGATCTTGGTCATCATAGCTTTTAGGACTCAGCCTGCCAGTGTAAGTGGGGGTACAGAGGTGGGGACCCTGTGGTCTTGAGGCCACATGTGGCCCTCTAGGTCCTCAAGTCAATGATTTGACTGAATCCAAACTTATTTGTTCTGTGAAGTTTGGATTCAGTCAAAGGGCCACATTTGAGGACCTAGAGGACCACATGTGGCCTCAAGATTGCAGGTTCCCCACCTCTGGTTAGGAGAACAGCTACAGATTCTATGCCCCCCCCCCCACCACATACACACGAGTATTTATTATCTGTGAACATGTTACATTCTCCCAGTAGACTATAAGTTCCTTGAGGTCAGGAACTGCTCACTTTTGTATTTGTATCCCTCACCCTTGGATTTGTATTTGTATCAGCATTGGACATAGGAGGCACTTGGTATATGTTAGTTGATTAACCAGTTGATTGACTGGTGGTCTTCACCACATGACAGGCAAAGTTTACTTAACCACACAATGAAGACATCAATATGATTTTCATTAACCTGTCCAAAGTGTTGGACCTTGTCGTGAGGCCCCGACCAATCAGTATTTACTCCCTGGGTGGTGTAGTGGAAAGAGTACTAGGACCCTGAAAAGTTACAGTCCTAGCTCTGACAACTGAGATGTGTGATCTTGGGCATCCCATTTACCTCTAATTCTTGGTTTACTTGGTTTACTTGGTTTACTTGCCCTCAAAATGAGGTATTGGATTATATGATCCCTAAGGTCTCTTCCAGTCCTAATATTTTATGACTCCAGGGCCAGGGATATCTGATAAATGTTTAACAACTGGCTCTCTGAAAAAAAAAATGTACTCAGGAAATACTTTTAAATTTAATCTGCATTAGCAACATTTAGACAATCGATAAAACAAAGCCCCGATTTGTGGCTTTTTAAAAAAATTTCTAAGATGAAAACACTCACAGAAAATTTAAGCCAGTTAGAGCTGGTTCAACACAGCACTAGTCCTCTCTGGTGTCAGTTGCTTGCAAAAGCTTTTCAAATATTTATTCCTCAGTAAGGTAATGTAGCTGGTCAGAAACCTGTTGGGATGGTAGGTGTTTTGATTCATTTCCCATCATCACTGGACTCCAATGGGGGATTTCCCTAGGGTCTAGATTGGAAGCCTCACTATCTTATGATGCCTGCGAGAGGTCATATAAGGATGTGCAATTCTTTTCTCCTTCCTTCCTTAAGTTTTTTTTTTTTGAAGTCATCCCCATTCTTAAAAGCAGAGAGAGTATAGTTACTTCCTTTTTAGTGTTTCCTTTTCTGGAAACACATGTCCAAGACATGTTGCAGACGCACACAAACAACTCTGCTTGTCATTATAGTGCTCTGAACTGATGTCCTAAAGGATTCCTGAAACAGGAAGTCCTACATGAAGTCATTTGCTTTCATTCATTTAGAGGTAAAAGGTGTTGGTAAGTGCTTTGGAAACTGTTGTAGATAACTAGTGAACACTGAATCTCAGAGTACTTGCTTATGATAAGGACAATAAAATTGGGGTGGTAATTTGGATCTTTCCTTCTGATTCAGAAGATCATTCTCCCAAGGGGAAGTGATGTTCCCTGCTATCACTTTCACTAATATTGGCCCCTTGAAGGAATATTCCAAGCAGAAAAGTATTTCCAAATAATACCAAAATCAAGAAAACCAGATCAAGACATCCAACTGGTCCTTCAAGAGGTTGCCAGTATGATTTTTAGGCAGAATCAGATTAAAAAAATATAGTTTACAAATTAATGCTGACCATTATGCTGTGGCTACTTAGCTTACATTGACCTAGATGGAAAGATTGTAAACACAGATTTCAATTCTGTATGTCAATGCCTCTATTCATCAGTGTTTGCTATGGTCTATCACAGTGTTTATGGGACATAGAGGAGGTTTCATAAAAGAATCAGACAGACCAGTAATGAATAAAGCAACAAATCTTTATTGAGGCATGTTTTAACTCACACAAAAGGAAGCATAAGGCCTAAAATGAAATAACTGGAGGCAGGGCCACGGAAAGTGGGTGAAGGCATCTTCCATAAGAAACAGAAAATATTAATTTAAAAGTTAATAAATAAAACCAGGGTACTCACCCAAAATTCTGGGTGAGATATTCTTCATGCCAATGAGAAGGAAAGGGGAGAGGAAAACCACGAAAATAATTTCTCAGTTAAGAACTTTCATTTGCTACTGCCATCGGACCTTATGAACACTGACAGAGACATTTCAGTAGACATGTAGTGTAGCATTGAACATTTCTTAGCTGCCCACATAGGTAATTATTAGATGCTTAAGGAGCAATATACAAAATTCTAGGGTGATAAAACTTTCTTTTTAGGCTAAGCTCATGTGTGACCTGACTTTTCCTTGAAATTTTCTCTAATTCTCCAGATCTGAGGGTTTGCTCTTTACTTGATTCTTTATTTGGACTTCTATTGTGTATTCACTTGTAACATAGCTCTTTAGGCATCTGTCTTCTCCCTCTTAGAACATAAGCTCCTTAAAGGCAGACTATTATTTGCTCTTAGTATACCTGGCACCTAGCCCAGTGTCGTGCATTTAGGAAGCTCTTTAAAGAGAATCTAAGTCTTTTAGGATTCTCTATAAAGAAAGAAAACATTGAGGGTGATGCTGAAATAAAAAGACAGGTAAAGATATGAACCTTGATTCATTTCCAAGTTAATTTCCAAATGTAGGGAGATTCCTATTTTTCACTATGCCTTTTGGGGTATTATCCTGTAATTTTTCTTTTCACCTTTACAATTGAGCTCACTTTCCACTGGGTTAGGAAGAATGGATTGACCAATGAACAGTAAATAGCTTAATGTAAAAAAAGATAAAAAAGGAAATTATTAAATAATCTCAGCACAGAGATGAAAATAGTTGCCCAAGATGATGCAACATGTTTTGACCGTTGGTTGTAGTGAACAAATATAAAACTCATTAGAACAATTAATGCTATTTGTTGTGCTTTGTAGCATAACACAATTCAAGTCAATTAAACATTTATTGATTAACTTTTATCTGCAAGACACAAGGTGTGGATTTTTAATGTTGAGCATAAAAAAGGCAAAAATAAAACTGCTCCTACCCTCAAGCAGTTGATGTTCTACTAAGGCGAAATAAAACATGTGCACTAGTAAGTACAGCACGAAAAAAATTGATGAGGGATAGATAGAGCACTAATATCCCATTACAAACATAGTTAAGCAGATCAAATTATTGTATTAGCTATGTCCAAAAAAAAAATCTGTCAGTACTCTTGAGTATGTGACCTCTCTATTTGCATGTGACTAGCATGTTTCATTATGAATCCCCTGGAATTGTCAATGTATATTCTTTTTTCCTTAATGAAACTTTAATTTTTTCCCTTTATTTT